CCTTCGTGCAAATATAATTTTAATTAAGTTTCTTTTTTTCTTCTAATCTATCATCTTTTCGCAGGCCAGGAGCGTCAGCACAAGTAGCTTTAGATCTCTGAGCCAGGTACAAGAAAAAACGAGGATTTGTTATACTTTTTTTTTCTTAAAAAAGTTACATTGAGACACAGTTTGCGCAACCTTTTTTCTTTAATAAAATCTAGTTTTTTTTTGAATTTTTTTACGTAGTTCGTTAATTAATATATTAGTGCAGTTACAATTTTTTTTTTGATTAATTTACTTACTTAACAAGTTTCTTTGATGAAAGTTGATGATGATGGAGAGATGGAATGGCTATTTGGGTGTCATTTCTGAATTTTACGGCAGTTTCTTACTATAAGGCTAGGGTTTAAGTGGATGTGATGCACTAGGATCACCCTGGAATATCCAAAGTTTCCTAAAGTTGCTCTAGGCTGCCATAAATTGCCATAAGTTGCCCTTGAAGTTATTGTAGGAACTGTTAATAGATAGTTGAGCTAGGACATCCTTATTATAATCCTAGGGCAACCTAAAACATCCAAGAGAACCTAGGTTGATTTAGAATGTCCTATGTGATCCCAGGGACACCTTAGCAGCCGTTACTAATAATCATTAGGCAACTTCAGACATTCAAGAGAACTTACGTTGACTTAAAATGTCCTATGTGATTTCAGGACTTAGCTTTTCTTAGCAACCATAACTCTAGCCTAGAGAAGCCCTAGAAAGCGACCCAAGTTATTTCTACCCTTATAGACTTAGACTTATAACATCTACATTTTGTGTAGTTTGGGAGCCTTGCCCTTGATTCCTTTCAACACCTTCAAATCCGTTCCTAGCACAAAAGACGAAATAGCCGAATAATCACTCCCAAACGACCATCAAATCAACTTTTGAACTAGTTTAAAAATCCCCCTTTTGGAATCGTGCAATTAAAAATTGTTGAAAATTACAAATTGTTAAGTGAGTCAAAAATAATTTTACAATTTATTCTCGTTAATTGATTGACAGAATTTTTTACTCAATTTGTCCTAATTTTAGTTTTCTTTGGATTGTGTATATGGCAAGAGTTTTTGTTAAAAAAAACTTTAGTTGATACTTTTTAATCCTTAAATTTTTTTCATACTTAGAATAGTTGAGTATATGAGAAAGTTTAATTTTTTTGTACGTAGATGAGTTAATGAATTAAATTAAAATTAGCACGAACAATTTTTCACAAGTCATACTTTTTATTCTCATCGATTGAGTTTTATTCGCTGATCCACAACCAAAAAAAAAATTATGTTTCAATTTTACACAAATCCACTTGTACCATCTTATTTCGATCTCATGATACAGTTACAATAATAATTTTCATTTTCAGTTCTTGGCAGGAAGCAGAAAGAGTTTTAGAGATTGCTGAATTATGGAAATTTTTTCTAGCTGCTTTTAAGTTTTTAAGTCTTTAAAATCTAGAGAAAGTTTCCATCCATCAGCAAAAGATACAAACTCATTTATTTTTCTCATTTCAATCCTTTCATTTTTGTTCAACAAAATAAGAACATAAATTTCAATATTTTTTTTTTCATTTTCATTCCTTCTTTTTAAAATTTCATTTGCATCTTCTTCATTTTTTATCTTCTCATATTCTGCTCCTATCTTTTTACCTAAACTTTCTCTCACATTTATTTAAAATGATAATATTTTACTCTTCATCGTCATCAGTATCATCTTCAATGTTCTTATGTCTATTTATAGTCTTTCATTTTATCTGTTTCTTTATTTTCATCATTTTTCATCTCATCTCAATCATCTATACAGATATGATATAAAGAAGACATCTCCGAGATGCACATAGATGTGAGGCATTTGTGGTTGTTATGCTGAAAATATTGATTTTATTTAAAATAAAGGAATCTATTTAAAGCAGACCATTTAACATTCAATCTTCAATATTTGACAATTTTGTCATTCAAGACTCACACTCTATAGCAAATGTGCATCTCGGACCTTTTCATAGCTTTTAATTTTATTGAAAGAAACAAGTTGTTGATGTAGTTTTTTTATCCGCATTTCTGTGAATTTGTTAAAGAAGTTTGTTTCATCCTTTTTTGCATCTTTTACCTTTCTTCCCATTTTTTTTATTTCAATCCTTTTTTGTTGTTTCTTTTCCTTCACAATTTGTTAAAAAAAGGCAATAAGAGAGAAGCAAAAAATAAAAAAAAATTCAATTATTTATGAATGAAGAAAAGATTTGAATGCTTTTGAATTAAGCTTGACGTTTCACTCTGCAACGATGCTTTTTGATGAAAATATTTATGACAAGCTAATTCTTTTTGAAACATAATAATTGAAAATTTAAAATTGATATTGCATTGTGGAAAGCTCACATAAAATTCATAAGCATTGCAATATTCAAATCCAACATCATCAAGCTTAAATGACATGCAATTTTCACAAAATTCAGAGGAAATATAATTCTAGACAATTAATTTTTAGTGGGTCAAATCTATAAATTGACACAATTTTAATCAGCACAAATAATAATTAGATACAGAACAATTGGCTTGCGTAAGTAAAATTCACAAATTTTTTTCCTTCACCTTTAAATTGAATTTTATTGAAAAAATATATTAAATATATTCATTAGCTCGAAATTTTAAGTTTGAAGCAACATGAGTGTAGTTTCTGTAAGCTAGGGCTGTTCGTTTGCATCGTAACAATTAGGTTTACTGTTACGTAATATACGAACGACCCTAACCAAGAGTGCGAAACTGATCAATTAGATTTCGATAATTTTTGATCAGATACGCACCCTTAACCCTAAATTCACTTATGAAAACAATAATTCGCAATAATGCAACATCTATAAATCACAACTAGCCTTTAAAAATCCTAATTTAAAGCCACCAAAAAACTCCAAAATGAGTCAAAAACCTCACAAAATTTACCACAAAACTTGTAATTGAGATGAAAAATCCCATTCATATTTTTAATATCTTCAAATTTATATCCGCACATATTGAAATTAAGCAAAGTTTTTTAGAAGCAATAAAAAAAACGCAGACATACACAGTGTGACACTCTAAATTGGCAATAAAAACTTTTTAATAATCGCAAAGTTTGTGCACTTATGGAACCCTTAGTTCCATTTTATCAGATAATTTAGGTGAAATTTAAGCAATAAAAATTCAGATTCTTGTTCCACGATGAGAGGCTTTTTGTTGTAGAATTGAAATTGTGAAAGAAAATTCCCCAAAGGGTAAGTAGAACGGAATGGGAACAAAAATGAGCAAAATAATCCCATAAATATTCAACTTGAAAGCATCATAAAGCATGTGCGCGCTAATAAAATAAAATTACACCCCTCTAGTTTTCTCATGACTTTTTTTTGTGTGTGTGAATGTGGAAAATAATGGCACAACTTTCATTCACACACCCGAATAATTTTAAGGTTAAAAGGAGGAGACAATGAAGACCATAATTAGAGCATTATAAAGACATTGTTTTGGAACGAAAATTAAATTCAAGCACTTTTTTTGTTCCTCTATGAAAACTCACAGACATAATAGCTTTTAAGACACATAAAAAGTACCGGTAAATGTTCATGTATGCATAAACTTGACAATTTTTGATGAACAAGTGTTAAATCTCACCTTGAACTCGAAAATGGTGTTGCATTTTTCATTCCCTTGTTTATGTAAGTGTGACAAATGGAGACACTCAACGAGAAGTGAATTTCTAAAAAGAGGAAATGCTTCTCAATCATTTTTAGATGGAATATTCGCACAATTTTCATGAATGGGAATTTCAGACATGATTTTAGCAATTCACGAAATTCTGTTTACACGGAATTTTCGGTTCCATTTTTGAACTTTTAAAAGTATTCACAATTCAGTAAATATTTTGATTAGTGATGAGAAAGTCAATCGATGAATATCAAATTCATTGACTTTTAAGAATCTGGAAATGTTGAATGTTAAGGCATTGAATATACTCGAAGTTCTTACATGATTTCTTAATCTGATGGCTTCTTTTGACCTTCAATTATTGGAAAGGACCCACATTTTTTTCATTTATCGATAGGTGATGGCTTCAGTACTCATTTATCATTGAAAATGTTATCTTGAAATTATCATAAATTTCATCAATTTTATTCTGCCATTTTTTTAATATTTGCTGCTAAACATTCAGTATGTTCTTGCTTATTTTACCAATTTTCAATTTTTTCAAAAATTCAAAAAAAATTCATTAAAATTGGCAAAAAAAAACAATTTTTTAAGCAAGTTTTTTCTATCTTAAGTCTGAACGTCTGTTTTATTTAAATGACAAAACTTTCCAGCTTCTTAAAATATTAAATAAATGTTGTTATTGTTGCAAATTTGAAAAACTGCAAAAAGATGCATATTAGGGCTGCAAATGGCTAATAGTTCGCTGTTACTTACTTGAATGCCGTTTAATAAATAATTAATTTAAGAATCCAGTTTAGTGAATGAAGTTGACAAGCAAAAGAACCTTTTATACTTTTTTTCATTCCCTTTCATTTAATTTCTTTAAATTAATTTTTCTGTCTTTTTTTTCTTTTTTCTACTTTTTTTGCGATACGCCGTAAAAAATTAATTTCCTTTCAACAGGGTGATCCACATTATGGACATTTTGTAAGTAAAACACAAAGTAAAACAGATTTTTTTTTGTTAATGCACATCAAACATGAAAACTTACTTGCCATTGGCTTAATGGAATGCAGACTATGAATTAATTAATAGGATTAATTGACATAGACTGGGCACGATCTGAAAAATAATTGTAAGAAATTTAGATTTGACATGAAATCAAAATAGAAGCAGCTTTCAAAAAAAATACTCATAAAAATCGATAAAATATCGGAAGAAGAATATAAAATTTGGATATAAAGGATAACGACTTTTAGCATAAGTTATTTACTTTTATGTTTCCCCCTCATTTTCAGTTTCTTTTTATTACTTTATTTTCTATATTATTTTTAGGCAAACTCGAAATATTTACACGAACGTCGTACCTCGCGATATTATACATCAGAATATGTGAGTTTCTACATTAAAACCAAGCACATGATTGCTGAACTGAACGATAAACACAAAAAAATTTAGACTTTTATTTGAATAGGCTTCAAAATATGCATGATGGATCAAAAATCTTAGTGTTTAGAATTTATTTACAATTTTACTAATTTAATTTCTTTTATTTTATTTCTATAATTTACTTCCAACAACTTTATATTCTTTATAAAACAGGGTGATCCAAACTACGATCGTTATTATGACGTAAGTTTCAAGCCTCTTTTTGGAATGTCTAAAATACTAGAACAGAAAAACTTAGTAGCGAAACAAAAATTAAGACTTAAAGAAAGCAAATAAATTGGTAGGCGCAAGATTTTTGCATGAGATTAAGACTTCCGATTCATTAAACAAAAAAAAAAATTATCAAAAAGTTTTAAAAGTAGGCAAATTAATTAAAAGGCTGTAATCAGCATGTCAAAAGTAATCTCGTGATTAATGGAAAACTGACGATTCCTTTTCACTTTTCACCTTTCATAAATTTCACAGTTGATATTTTCATTAATTTTGTAAATTCCAATTTTATGGATATAATGTGGCGTTCTTAGTGCCCTTGAGGTTGCTTGCTATCGAAAGAGAGAACCAGGAATCTCTCAATCTAGATCAAATTTACACAAGGACCCCTAAAAGAAGAGAACGCCGTAAAAATATAATTTGAAAAGAGTCTTTATGTATTCAATTTTGGATATGAATTTATTTACCTGAAATGCTGAAAAATTGACATAAAAATGCAAATAAATTTATGGAATATTTTATTAACTTTACATTTGCCTTATATACATTTTTTATGATACAGATATGGATATGAATTTATGCTTTAAATAATGTCATTATTTCGTTCATGTATAATGTGTAAAAGTTTGTATAATAAGCTGTATAATATGGAAAAAAAATGAATAGGATATGTATGAATACGTTCATTCTGTGTCTATGGTTAATATAAAAATAATAATAGCTTTGTTTTTTTTTTCAATAAAAAAATGCTGATCATAAAAATAAAAGAAGTCAACTTGTTGAGGATTAAAGAGTTTTTCATGATGTGAAGCAGCATTCATCTGAACTGTAGAAATATTTAAAAAAATTCCAAATCCCTTTTTGAATAATTATTGAACTTTTTGTTACAAAGGATGAGGAGGGGGGGGGGGGGAGGAACTACTGAATAGCTTTTCTGACACATTCCTTCCCTAAACAACCAAATGACTTATGAACCATGACAGAAACCAAAAAGTGTGTATGAAAAATGTCATATATCTGTGAATCAAAATACAAACTAAGCTAAACCTAACCCCAAAAAACAAACTCTGGCTATAAAAAATGCATGCTACAAATAAACGTCTTTTGCTTCATGGGGCATCATTCTCTTGAAAATTCATCTTTCGTGTCTTAATCCTAAAATTCCTATAATACTTAACATTACAATCTAAATAATCAATCAGGGGATACATAAATATACTTCCGTAGATATTTTCAATTCTATAAATTCCTTAACAATCTAGAATACATAATGACTAGCTTTTGATACGTATACCTATGTAGATCTTGATTCTTCAAGCTTAAAATGTTCAACCATTTTGATTTGTTGGATGGCTGACAACTTTCATTCGTCGTGGCTTGTGGAATTTGCTTCCACTACCGGAACTTGTATCCTTCTTCTTGACTGCTTTTTGCATCTGTGCATTTAAAATTGGACAGTCGTAAATATCATCTTTATCATTGTCGACCTGCTCATAATATTCATTGTCACGTTCTAAGCTCATAAACTCTTGAAATTCTTAAAAAGATAAGACAAAAACAGAATCAAGAAAAAAAGAAGGACAAAAGATTAGCTAAAAATACTTCCAACAGCAAACTTCCGTGCGAAAATGCGGAAGTTAATTTACACAATTTTATTCAAAAAAAATCTGCACATGAAAAAATGAAAATTAAATTAATGCCTGACATGAAAAAAAATATAACATAAACAGCACAACATAAAATTTAATGCAACATTTGCAGCACAAATGACATAAATTATTGAAAATTTCATTTGAAGCTTTTTTCATTTAAGTAAGAGTAAATTTTGTGAAGTTGGTTTGAGATTTTTTTTAAGGGACTTAGCAAGGATGACCGGGGACCGGAGGTCAAATTAAAATCTTTGCTATGTCATTAAAGTTTTTGAGGAGCTTTGCGTTTCTTTCAAGAGGCTTTAATCGTGGAATTGAGAGTGTAATTGCTAAGCTTTGAAGCTAATAACGTACTTTTCTGAGGGTACATGACAGATTAAACATTATTATCTTAAAATTTCAGCAATGACATTACAAACTCTACAAGATTTAAGCCAGAATTTCACAAACCATATCGTGAATGCTGACATTTATGAAAGCAATCTTGAAAATTTACAAAAAAAATATAAAACATTAAACTAGCTGAATATTCAAGCAAACTTCACAAAAGCCACAATATTTCATATTCTTTACATATAAATAAATGACATGACATATAGATAGAAAAGAAACATAGATCCATTCCGCTTTATAGACGAATAAAAACAAGTAAATGCGAATAAAAAAATTTAGAATTTGTATATTTGTGGATATATTTCATCGAATCGAACTACAAGCGCATGCAAAACAGTAGAATTTTGATTTTTACAACATTTATACATTCCGTAACAGATAATAACTAGGACGTACAAGTTTACGTGAGACATACGTGAAACATAAAAATAAAAATAAAATAAAAATGAAGTAAAAATTACCCGCAACTGACATTTTTTTACGTTTTTTGGTTTTTCTTTTTTATGTTTTTTTTTTATTTTTATTTCTGACAACGATTTCGCTAATAAACTTCAATCTGCTGGATAATTTAAAATAATATTTGATGTAAAAATTACTGTATGTGTGTTCTTTATCTTTCAACAGGCCGATTCTACGTATTTTGATCGTCACTATTACGTAAGTGGCTCGGATCTTATTTTTTCTTTGTAGTTCAACTTTTCATATTCTCTCAAAATTTTACTTATCATCGCATTGATAAAAATTATAGTTTGATGAAGAAATTGGGGATAATTCAAATACTAAGTACGACTTAATCATATTCATTTTAGATAAGTAGTTTGGCTAAGAGCGAATTTAGTAACTTTAATAGAAAAATGCTTTGATGCAACCTATATGGACTAGGGTTAACTAGGGATAAATCTAATCACTAAGAAACTTTAAAGAAACATCTGAAAAACATTGAAAACCCTGATCATAAAAGGATGTAGGAAGAAAAAATCATTTAAGCATTGAAAATTAAAATTTTTTAAATCTTATTTTATTGAACAATTTTTTAAAAAAGTTTTTACTCTAACAAAAGTTTTTTGAACATAAAATAAAATTAGTTTCATATTGCACGTTAAGAATTTAAAATTGAGTATCCTTCATCATCTCATGGTGTCATTATTGAGCATATTCCGAAAGACACAAGTCGGTTTTTCGAAATAAAATCCGGTACTAAGCTTGCGGTACTCTGGCATGATTTGATTTGAGTCTAACACCATGCCAGAGTCACGCAAGCTTGGTGCAAGAGTTATAGTCGATTAACCAACTTGTGCTTTTCGGGTATGTCAGAAGTAAAATTAGAAATAACTTTTAAAATTAAAAAAAATTTCTGAGACATCATTTGACCCACAAGAATCGCACATTAGTCGCCCTACAAAAGTAGAGAAAAAGAGAATTTGACGTTAGAGGTTTTTTTTAAAAACATTCAAGGACTTGTTCATAAATCTTGAGCTGAAAAGTGCTGGAAAATTTCTTATGAACAATTCCTGAATAACTCAAAACTTCTTGATGATGATGAGTATCAAAAAATTTATTGGACACAAACCGTCATCATCTCCATAAATTCTGGAACGAGAACAAACGGAAACACAAATTTAGAAACTTCTCTTTTCACTTCTTTTTCTGATGTTATTGGATATACATTTTTTTGTTACTTGTGTGTCAATTAGAACTGTGATTAAGAGAACCGTTCATGAAATTTTTTCAGAGTGTAGATTTTCGACAAGGAAAGCTATTCCCGATTATACTTAGGGTTGTTGCTGGAAAATTGAAGTCATACCCAACCACAGGGGCGTAGCAGGGGGGGGGTTGAGTAACAAATCCACCTACGTTAACAGACTTTTCTTCATTTTGCTAAGGTTTTTGTCCCCCCTGCCCTTCAAATTTCTGACTACGCTCCTGTTCAACCAGCAAAGACCTGATACTGAATTAATGACATTCTTACTCACACCCAACTTGAAATGAATCAAAATCAAAGAACCAAATCCCAAAACAGTTGAAAAGTCCTCCTTAAAATCAACAAAAACCGCGCTGAAGTTCTCTTGAACCAGGTGAAAAGATTTAAAAATAAACAAAAAAGTCTATTTTTGCCAACATTTGAGAAAGAAAAAAAATTTTTATTAAAAACATTATCCACACGTGCAGCCAGCGCTCTTCTTCACCTTGCTGTTAAATATATTAAATTTCTTCTTAAAAGTCGAGGAGTGTTTACGATAAAAAAGTCAAAACGTGAATGGAAAATTTCACGATTCTGTCAAATATACGAATTTAAAGCAGCCCTACAATATCATCAAATGAAGCTGAATTTGCTTTTAATTTCTTTACAAATTAAGATTTCATTCATTGGTGATGTAAATTAAACAGAATATTGGAATTAAAAATTCCACGTAAGTTAAAATAATCAAAAAATTATAATTATTACTATTATTCAATTAATGACGATATCGATAGCATAAACAACGACCGAGTGAAAAAAAATAATAATCCCGACGATCAAAGCTTTGCTCATAGCACAGCGAAAAAAAAATGTTTATTCTACAAGAACACTACTTCATGTATGCTTAATGAACTTAAGTGCCTTTTTTTTCTTATGTGTATTATGATTATGAGGAATGAAACGCGATAATTGTTTCCTTTTTGATTTCGTCTATATGTAGTCGAATTTTCCTCTGAATTAATTAGTGACTCGAAAATATATAAAGGAAATAATAATAATAAAAAAATAATAGTTATGTTTACTAGTACTAATGTCGAGCAATATTTAAGGAAGAGAAACGGAATATCGTGTGAGAATTATCCATAAATTAATCGGAGTTCAAATGATAAAGTTCAAACAAGTTTGAAAATTACTAGGTTTTAGGGGATGGAGCGCATTTTTCTGATTGATGTGGGGTGTCTTCAATATTCTTTTAAAAATCCAAAAATTGGGTTAACTTTAAAGATTTTAAAGGTTATGACTGCATGCTTTGATACAAAACTAGCCAACTCTAAGTTGCTAATAGTCAGGACCTGAATTTATGAATACTTCTCTACACTTTTCTGTCAAATAATTCTTTAAAATAGTAAAAACAAAACTTGCAGTTCGTCGTTGTACTTTGTAATAAGAAATAGAGAAACTAATATGAGGAATTGGATAGTGAATGTGTAAGTGTATGTGTAAATAGTGTGAAAAGTTAAAAGGAAGTATGAATCATTCAATGGAATCAGATGGAAATTAAAGATGGAATTAAAGATTGTGATGGGAATGTGATTGAATAAAATTATACTCACCATCAAAATCAACAGTTCCTGATGAGTCGGTGTCGATTTCGGCAATCATTTCTAAAGAGTTTGATGGACGAAACGAGATAATGGAAAGAAAGTTTAAATATTTGGAAGAATTTGAGATTTTTTAAGAATTAATTTGTTATTTTCTGATCCAAAATATAAAGCATGATCACGTAATCTAATAAATCTTGGAACAAAATGTAATCAATTATGATTACTTACTAAATTACACTTGTTACTAAAATATTAATCATATAATTCATAAACTTACCATTCAGTTGATCACCTGTGAGTTGATCATCAAGTGCTGCGAGAATTTCACGTAATGATGATATGGGAATATAGCCGTTTCCTGTGTGTTAAGAATATTAAATTATATAAAAAATGTTGCTAGGTATAATAAAGTAATTGGAATTAGCAGGAAAAATTAAAGGCTTTGCACAACTGAAGGACATTATAACTTAATGTTGATTAATGAAAAATGAACAAAGTTCATGGCAAATTTATCACACTCACCTTCTTTATCGTAGAGTCGGAAAGCTTCCTTCAGTTCTTTTCTGTTAAGAATAAAATAAAAAGTAATAAATGTAGCCAATCATCTTAAGTAGTCCAAATCAAAAAATTAAATTATACATTATGACACAAGAAAGCAGTGTGAAATGTAATCGGAATTGGAAATGGCAGTGAGAACTTACTGGAGAGCTTCATCGTCCTCTTCTGAAAAGTGAACAGCTACACGACAGAACTCATCAAAAGTTAATGTTCCTTTTCCTTTTTTTATTTTATTATTTAAGCATTATTCCGGATGCGTACACGGGGAATATTTTCGTCAGGCACAAGATGGAGTGATGAACATAAAAAGAAGAAATAAAATAAAAATTAGATTGGAATAATTAAATATCATGATCCTTGAAGTTTCTGTAATGAGAAAAAATCATAATAATGTACGATTTTCGGGGTCATGGCACGGGATATTTGTTACATGGATTAACAATTCTGACTTCATAAATGCGAATGACACAAGCGTTTTTTTGAACTCAACATCAAAATTCAGATACCCGAAAAAAATTCATCCAATTTAAACAGAACCAGCGGGTCATCAAACCCTTTTCACTAAAATTATCCAAAAACGGTCAGCATTTTAAACCAATTTCTGACATTTTTCATATTTCCATATCTCATTGCCATTCCACACGCGCAAAAATTAATTTCATCATCATGATTTTCCTAGAAATAAAGAAATCAACTTCATAATACCGTATAATCCCCTCCATCCCATCTCACTCATTTTAATTTCATTCATTCATGGAATAACAGAAAGGGACATTTTATGTCATGATGATATTTTAGCATTTAAAAATGTTTGCGTTGCAGAAAAAAAAAATTTCTGCGTTTAACTTTTGGAATGTGCAACTGTGAGTCATATTTATGTAAAGGATTGAATTATTTTTTATGGCAATGAATTTAATTTCAATCATATTAATAGATTTTGGCATTTAAGGTTGAAAAAGTAATAAATTGTTGAAAGTAACAGTCATTTCAGACAGACTGAATTGTGGAGCTAATAATCTTCTATTTAATGATGCTCATCAACTTCCATTAATTACCGCTAATAAGTGTAATCAATTTCTCAAAAGTCGTAAATGCAGATAAAGTCATGAGAGTCTTATTGTTGAGATTTCTAGTCATTGAACTCTCCGAGTTGATTCTCATATGAGAATAGATTTAGAAGATTTAAACCTTTCAATCAACATTTCGTTCCTAAAGCTCTCAACATATCAAAAACTTCCATGGCATATGAAATATTTTATGATAATTTATTGCATTTCATCATCATAAACTATCATCATTCTTTCCTTTTTCTTTCCTTCTTGGATATATCAAAACATTTCTTCACTTTTTCACTTGCCGAGTATGCTTCAAATGCTTTCAAAATTATTAAAATGCTATGGAAATGGAAAGGAGCAAAAAAATTGTGAAGTTGAAATGAAAAATGAAACTTTTGAGATTTTTTTTTGCTTTTTCTTTTTTGCTTCAGATAAAGAAAAAGGAAAAATCAATTTATTAATGGCTTCAACATTCCAGTGTGTGTATCTTGAATTCGTAGATTCTATTTGAGATGATTTTGTCAGATTTTTAAAATGAGCTTTAAGTTCTTGTGAAAAATTTGAATAAGTTTTCAATTATTTGGGTGATTTAAAGTGAAAATAGGGGACTGTTGAACGGCACATATAGCTGGAGCTGTAGACTTGGTAGCTCATCAATCTGAAATTGATGAACAAACCAGATTGTTGCAGATTTAAATTCTAGGTTGAACATTTAAGTCGCTCCAAGCTAGGATCTACAGTTTTTCCACTTTCTCTGCTTAATTCGTAAACTAAGATCAATATAGTATGAACCTAGCTCGTATTATGTAATAATTTTAAAACATATCAAATAATCCCGAGTAGCACAAGTCGGATAATCGAGATGAAATCCTACGCTAGGGCGACGTGGTTACGATCTAAGAGCGAATTTCTCGTCATGACGAAAAATTTGCCCTTAAGTCGCCGTGATATCTTCCTTGCGTAGGATTTCGTCTCGATTATCCGACTTGTGCTATCCGGGAATCTCTTATGAAGGGTTTCCAAACCAATTCATTTACTTCAATTCATGAAAATAAAAATTTTTGCTGACATACAAAACAAGTGTGTGCCATAATTTCCATATACTTAACATACAAAATTGTAAGAATTGAAAGAACAAAACAGACAAATGAAAATGAAATATAACAAAATATTCAAATAAGGTCAGAACAAAAAATTATTATCATACTCATGCAAGTTGAATGTCTCTTAAAGCCTCTCTTTCGGTGGAAATTTTTAATGAAAAATTTCCGTAAACACACCTTATTTGTTCCAGTGGTTCGTTACCGAATGAAATTGCCTCATAAACTTGAAGAATGAGGTTTTGTGCGTACGTATAAATTAATGAATTGGAATTGAGATTCACAAGTTCAAAGACATATCACTATGTTTATGGTTCCCGTAGCAGAGGAATCCCTAATCAAGAAAACAAAGAAAATTCGCCTCCATACTTTAAGAAGATTAAAAATGTCAATATTTTCTCCTTCCTCCATCAACCTTCGTTTCTCTATCTTTGTGTGTCAATTCTATGTTTCGAATAAACAGAAAAACGAAGCTACATTTAAAATTGTATTTAGCCTTTTTATGCTCATATTCTCATATTCTTTTCCATTTTTCGCCATTTGGCTATGACATTGATTTTATTTATTAGATAAATTTTGTAATTTTTCATTCGTTGTTTTTTTGGAGCAAGCAGGGTGGGGGTGGCAGAGACAATAATAAATGGAAATGATTTCATAATTGCTTATGACATTTGTTCTGCAAATGGATTTATTATTGACATTGAAATTATAGAAAATCATGAAGCTTTATGAGAAACAAATTGGGTATTTATTTGCAAAAAATAAGGTTTAGAAACCAAGCTATGATGGAGATTAAAATTGAATTTTCCACAAAATGTTATTGGCATTTCCAAAAGACCTTTCTCAAAAACGAGATCGAATGTAAATACAAAACTAATTTTAAATCAATTTCCGAAAACAAATTCGTCATCTTCTGTTCATATTTCTTTTCTTAATTAAGAAAAATGATTTCTCATGCATTCTTTTGACTTCTTCAGTCTGTTTCTTACATCCATAACGATCAGAAAAAGGAGCAAGAAATAACAAAGTTTTAAGCAAAAATTCTTATTTTTAAAATAAATGTTGTGAATTCATTAAAAAGTTTATTCTGTAGTTTCTCATTTCGAGTGGGGAACATAGAACTGTGAAACTGAAAAACAACAAGCTACAAGATTTTGTGTGGAGTTTGAAAAATCGGGAGCTTAAACTTTAAATATATATAAGAATCAGATTTAGAATTTTTCGTGCGTTTTTTGGAGGATTTTAACACTTTTGATGCTAACTGCTGACTTTTCGCGAAGGAGCCGTTCACTTATGACGTCTATTAATAACATGATTTTTAGACCCCTTTCCCCCCCTCTGACACAAAATTTCCTTTATTTGAGCTGTCACAAAATTCTGGACCCCCCTTCCCCCTAAATGTTGGACGTCATAAGTGAACTGCCCTAATTCGAGTGTGAATTTCCATCAGTTACAAAGTGTTCAGCCATTCTAATTGGCACAAATTTGTCACTCGAAAAAAATGCACTTCCAGCACTTTATCCTCTGACTTTTTAACCAACTTTATCCTCGACATCCACTTTATTGCAAAATTATAGTGCTAAAACTTTTTCCATGTTCTATGCATTAAATGCAATTTTCTTCTCAAACGAATTAAGTGAGTGAGCGCTTATATAAATGTGTGTTTTGTAACAATCCGTAACAAACTGTACAAGAAGTAAAATTTTTTACTCGAGAAGCATAAAACGGTTTGCATTAAAGGAACATTAATTTTACAAAAAAATAGTAACAATACACATACCGCATACAGCTCAATATATAAACACACGACTTAGTAATAGCAGCAGTAAGGAGAGAGAAAAAAAACAGTTTAACACATTAACATAGTTAAGGACTTAATTAAAATAACATTTTACTTCGTTTTATATTTAGTGCCTTAGAGCATAGCTTATGGAAATGTTAAAACGTTTGTTGGACAAGGTACATTCTCTATTTTAACAACTGCTACTTCTCATACCAATTTTAGTCAGAGTTGGAATTTCAAATTCATTCATTGTAAAATATTTTGCACGATACAGCAACCATTATGATCTCTCGAGCATTAATTAAGCACTCTGTACCTTCATTCTTGAATGCTAGACAGCACATGAAATTCCATTATTCATCATGTTAGTTGAAATGAAAATTTCATTAAATGCTCAGTCAGTCTCACACGATTTTTGATGTATCCTCGTTCTACTCCTCTGCCAACACCTCACCTCGATACCTCGAGCAAGGCATTGAAATTGTGACAAATTTTAAATTGAAATGCTCTCTCTCGTTTTTTTTTTGGTGATAAATTGAAAAATCTCATTATGAAAACGACAATAAATTTGCAAGGACATCAATCATTTGACAGATGTTCATTAAGTGTGCCGTTGAGGATGGCAATGTCTATCGTCATTGCATATTATTAGCATTGGTAATTTTTAAATTGGATATTTTTTGTGTTAATGAATTTTTGAACATAATTTTTTAACATTTCCTGTGGATAATTGGATGTCAGTAGTCAGACTGTAAAGAATCAATTGGTGTATATAGCATGAATTAAGTAGCATCAATGAATGTCTCACAGAATTGAACTCAATTAGAGCGTCACAAAAGAATAATAATATTGTCGAAAGAATCCTTTAACACAATGGAAGGAAGAACATATGATTTAAATAAAAAAATGGTAATGAAATTAAATATGAGTTCTGTCTTATTTTTCTGTCAAGAACAACAATTTTTTTTTGTAAGTGCGGATTCTCGATTTCTTTCTTCTTTTCTTTTGACACTCACAAGCATATATTCAGCTTTCAAATTTTTTTACGCTTCGCCAAGCAACGATAAATCAAGTGAAGCATTTTTGAGAAAAGGAAAGTTTCTGTTTAGTCTTTGTCGGAAAATTAATCCTTAGAGTAATTTTGGTGAAATTTTAAAGGAAGTTTTTGTTATCATTTAGAGAATTTATGGCTTATTTATTAAATGTGCAGTTCTACCTGCTAATAAAAACTTTGTGGACATGCCACAAAATTTGTCATATGAAGGGCATTTTTGATAAATAGTTTTAGAGCTCTAGAGCCCATGCTAGACGTCATTAACAAACAAACCCCAACAAAAAAATCCTCTTAATAATGAAAAAAGTCACTTCGTTGCTACTTTTTCCTATTTTATATTGTAATTTACTCTTTTATGTGCTCAATTTTGTGGAATCGAGGACAATTTTCATTTTATATTTTTTAAAGAAGGAAACAACAATGTACAGAATTATGAAAAAGTTGAAGTGGATACTTTTTGTGGCATTTCTGATAATGTGGAAAATTAAAAAATAAAATGAGAAAGGAAATGAAAATTTGACTTTTTTCGAAAGAACTTAAAAGTTTAAAGTAGATTTGAGAAAATGTTTGTTACCCAATGATTTATGAACAAAGACCTTCTTGGAAGAGCTATGCTTAGTAAATATGCTTGACTAGCTTTGTTTTGATTTTAATGGATACAAATCAAATCAGAATTATTTTCGGGAGTTGAATTGGAATTTTCTGTGGGTTTTTCTTAGAAGTAAGACGTTATCTTGAATAATGAAGCTTTGGATGGGTTTGGAATGGAAGGAGGCACAAGCTTGACAAAGAAACAGAGTTGCGGGTTTGCCACATCATTGCCAAGTTCTCTTCAATATTATTCCATTAAGTTCATTGTCAAGTTCATGAAAACCAAAGCGCATTATAATATACATCAATTAAATTGGTCTCTAATCCCTCAGATAAAAGTCATCATCATCATAAAGCATTTTGTAAGGAAGTTCATTACTTCTATCCATCAGTCATGCATCCTTCTTCTTCTTCTAATTCTTATTAAATCTCTCATCAGACATAATCTTCTACACGACGATTTTCCATATAATTTCCAACATGAGATTGCTTATTTTATTGCCAATATGACAAACGAAGAAGAGATGACATTCGGAGATGATAGAAGAAAAAAAAAATAACAAACAAGAAGGAAAAGATGAAGATAGAAATGATTCCGGAATATTGACACAATGAGAAATGGATATTTTTTCTATAAAAAAAAAAAAATCAGCATAAGTGTATTAAGTCATCACATTAATGCTTGCAACATTTCCTCTATTATTCTTAAAAAAAGTTTCATTTTGTTAAGGCGTTTGGATGGTTTTGTGTGGGTACAATGAAGGCAGCTTCTATGAAATTCATTTACAAACGCATTTAATACCCAAACTCGAGAAAATAACGTTATGCTTACTCACTTACAATTCAAATATCCTGACTGCTCTACGAATGATTGATATTACTGTTTGCTCATTCACTTCCTCTTTTTATGCCATTGCAGTCATTGTTATTTAATTATTCCTCCATTTATATGCTAATTATCATTGATTTATTGAATTTGTCCCGCACTTTCAACAATCTCTCAAGCACAATACTTGATTAATAATCTCATATTTCTTCTCATTCATTCAATGGTTTTTTATTCGGAAGTAAATGAGAAAAGCACACGAGTCGCACATGAATGAATTTAAATGGAGTGAAATGTAATAAAGAAGTTTATCATCGACATGAGTGAGAAAGATGTCGAGAAAGAAGAAATGGCGAGGAATAGGAAGAATGAATAAGTGATTGATTGATTGTAATGCAAAAGATGCGATTCATAAATCAATGTGATGGTATTAACCCAGTTTTTGTGATGAGAGACTCGCGTTCGCGTGGCAAAATTGGAATTAAATTGGATAATTAGGAATGACTTATGGAAATATCAGTTTTTTGGGTTTTTCTATTATTTATGGCAAATACAGGAGGTACTTGACAGAATCAATGACTGGAGAGAAGGGGCGTAGCCAGGAATTCGAATTTTTTTTTGGATGAAAAACTTTTAGTGGGGGGGGGGGGGGGGTCATAAAACTCTAGCAAAAAGAAGAAATTTTTCAAGACGAAGGGGGATTTGTCCCAAAAGTTCCTCCCCCCGTGGCTACGCGCCTGCTAAGAAGTTCAGAAACATTTGCAAACTTTTTTTGAGAGATAAAGGTAGGGTTGAAAATTAATTGAACAGACGAAGGGATGTTTTTGGATATGTCTCAAAAAGGCACAATGCTGCTTTTGGGAACCTATCCTATCTTATTTTACTTCCTATATTCCTTAAAAATAGTTTTGGAATAAGTAAAGAACCTTAAATTTCAGCAGCTCCTCATTGATACATTCCGCTAATAAATAGTGAATATTCACAGCTTTCCAAAAAACGTGATTAATCTCACTTAATTTCACAGCCAGAAAAATTATTAAAACATGACAAATGCGATGTGATAGAAAAAGATGAGAACTCTTAAATTCGTGATGATTTACAGCCACTCATTTTAATCCAAGAATTTGAATTATTTTCATATTTATTTTTTTCTCGGCTGTGAAAAATATTTCATAACAAATAATTTGATTTTCATAATTTTTCTTCTTCATCCGTGAATGATGGTTGTGTTGAAGAATTTTTCTCTTGGGATAGGAAAGAACACATGTTACAAAAACGATCAACACGAGTTAAAAATGTCCATTCATCATGTCAATATTAACAAATTTTCAATTATGTATGACAGATTTTTTGGCATGATACAAATGAAATTGAAATTTAATAAGCCAACAAAAAAACCAATTAAATTGAAATACAGGAAAACCATGAAAAAGTTTATGTGTCTGAATGTATTTATGACCTCCTATTTATACCAGAAAACAATTCATTAAAAACCATACACGCATGTATACAATGAAAATCGTAAAGATTTATGGTACCAAATAGGTATGGCATATCAAACTCTCGCACACACATTATGCTGTATATTTTATTTTATTATTTTAATATTCTCACACACACGATCCTCTCCAGGTGACATGCAAGCTATGGTATGCCATTTTAATGTGATTTTTACGACCTTTAACTGGATTTTTAGGGGAAATTGGTTACTTTAGTCATTTTGTGTGGGTAGGGTGATGATAATTGCTGCAAAGCTTTCCATTGGAAAGCTTGACACTGATATTGATGAGGATTTAATGCGCTACAGCCTCACTTCAATCAACATTCGTGACTTTCTTACTTTACATTTTTCCATTCTTTCACAGTCTAGTCAGCACTTTATGTGAAATGGTTATAATCATTTAAATGTTTCATATGCCACTTGAATATTTATTTCCACAAATTTACATCTTTTATACATAACACAAAACGACTTCCACTAAAGGGTACCTTAAATTGAGATTTAATTTTGCCTATTTTATGGTTTGTTTATCAAAAAAATGAAAGCGCTCAGTTTTCTTCTTCGCTTTATTCGATTTAAGGTAGGATTTTTTATTATTTTTTCGTTCCTTTCTTCTTTTTTTGATGCCTTTAATTAAAATGCGCGTTTTCCGATTATTTTAATTATCTTAAGTGGTGTAAATTAGAAAAGAAAATTGTATAATCTGTTGGAAGTGAGTTATAAATGTGTCTGGGATTAAAAGTCAACTTGAGAGGATTAAATTCTGATGTGTAAGATTATAAATTATATGAATTTAAGAGGATTAATAGGAAATAATTTTTTTGCACAGTCTTCAAGAATTTGGCAAAAATTTCCATGATAGACATCAATGTTCATCACACCAATCACCATTCTCAAAAAAATTTATATTCAGTTTGACTTGCTGCTGTCAACACATTCCAATAAATGTGTCATTTGGTCAAATATTCAACATTTTTCTCTCATATTTTATATGGCGACATTTCACCTTTTATCTATCATCTACACCATTAATAAATGACATGTCTCATTAAGTGGCATATGAAAAATTCCTCAAAGTTAATTTTGGAAGGTCCCGCAAGAAGAAAATACAAAATTAAAGTTATTTTCTCATCATAAGCGAATGTGTGTATGTGTCTGAACTTCCAACATTGCTTGGGATCGTGAGAAAAATTTATGAGGCTCATAATTCCCATTTTTTTAAGTACACATGACATTGGATGGAACAACTTTAAATCATTCGCACGTTCGCGAAAGAAAAAATAGTGGAAAATATATTTTCATCTCCAAGTCTTACTATTTTCTTGGTCGTGATTCGGGACACACCTAGCAGGTAGCATATAACTCAGGTCATGAGATTTTCAGTCATTTTTTGGGTGAATATTGTGATGAATTTAATGCCTATTAATTATGGATTTTTAAAAAAACCTATTCATCAGTTCAAATGGAATTCCAAACCCATTCCTTCATCTAGCGCCACACTCCACAAAAAGAAGAGAAACATCCATAAACAGATCATAAAATAAAAACTAATTTCATTCGTCTGTAGTGTCATGGGTAAAATAAATTGGAATAAAGTATTAGGAAGTGATTTATGGACGGCCGAAGGTCAAGAAAATTTTTTCTCATCAGTAAACTTCAGGCAAAAAAGAATCTCGATATGATTGATGAAAAAATAAATATTTCGAATAAGAAACTCACCTTCCGTATCTTCAGCTGATAATAATCTATCCAATTCACTATCATCATATGTGTATCCTAATGTGTTTAAGATTAAGCGAACCTTCTCTCTTTCAATTTTGCCGGATTTATTTGAATCAAACATTGTAAATGCTCGACGAAGTACTGGATTGATGGATGATGTAAAGTTATTTTTATGACGACGGAATAGACAAAATATTTAAGATGGAAAATTAATTTTTTTGGGGTCAATCGAGTGTTTTTTTTTGTGCGATTTTTTAACATTTTATCTGAACAATAATTTTATTTTAAGAATCTTTAATGAACAATCGATGACTGCATAGATTTAATTTCCATAGAAAATACGCAAAAAAATATTTCAATTAAGTCTGGACATTTTCAATTAGATTTCACAAGAAATTAAAATAAAAGAATTTAAATATAAATACTCACATTGAACATGTTCATCATCCATTTCCTAATTTCATTAAATTCATTTCCATTTTTAAGTATTTTTAGACATGCAAATTAAAAAGGAGGAAAAATATTCAGTTAAATTTTTGTGCTCATAATTGCTTTCCTAAATTTGATTTAGCTTATTTCTCTATCATAGAATAAATAAAGCAACATAAATGGATATAAACATGAACAAAAACTGTTTGCTATTTGTGGCTTAATGCAAAATATCTCCATCTCGCTCTTTATCCTTTAAACTTGTCTTACTGGAATTTTTCTACATTCATGAACATGTCGAATTGAAAATAAAAATCTACATGAACGATAATTGAAAATTCTTTCAGTTTAGCATGCATGTGTCCATTGAGCGTTGATGTTTTCAAGTACTGTTGGAGCCTATTAAGGTTTTGGGGTCAAATCAAAGACTCTCAACCCTTTTATTGCATCATTTCTATCAGTAAGGCTCTATGACGATAAACGCGCTAGCAAATCCCACCTAAAAACTCACTTCGATCCTCATTATTTTATTTTATTCACCATACATACTCAAACTAGTTATTTCACATTGTTCATCAGAAATTTTATGCAATAAAAAATTCATAAATCATTTTTCGTCATTTAAATGATCACTATCACTACGAATGTTCTTTTGTCACACAATATTCATTCATTTTGATTATTGTTCATTTTTCGAGAGTTTGATTGAAAAAATGCTTTATTGTTTTTTCGTGATTTTTTTATATCCTTCATGCTACGATTGGAAATGAAGTTCTTGTACTTTATTACACAATGGATAAAAATTCATACAAAAAATGATAAATGGGAAATGTTGGTGCTTGATAGAGTTGAATATTGGAATTTTTAGTAGAGTCAAAGTTGATGGCTTTGTAGTGTACGATTTGAATTTAGTGACATGAGATGTTGAGACATGAAGATTATGAATTAATTTAAAAATTACTTCCGATTAAAAATTTTCCCAGTTTTTGACAGAAATTTATAGTAAAATATTATTAGGATCATTCCACAAATTCTTTTCTTTCACATTTAATTAAAAAGTCACCCACATGCTTAATAAATTTGTTTCTGAAAAATCCTCTTCATTTTTTTTGCAGTCTTAAATATTTCAATTCTTTTGGAAAACGAATTTTTCAATTAAATTAAAACTTATTAAATCTTGTCTGTTCATTGTGATCCTATTAGCACATATTCACTTTCTGTAGCTTTATAATTAATTCAATCAATTTGTATAAAAATTCATAGTAAAATATCACATTTTTGTAAAATCCACAAATTTTCAACAATTTCAAGAATGTCCATGAGTTCTTCAAACTTAGCCAAATGAGATATTTTGCAAAAGTCCAAAAAATTTTTTAAACAAAACTTAATCCATAAAAGTTCGACTTTATCCAAGTAAGTCCTAATCGATGGCTACTAACATGAATCATTTTGGCGAAAAGAAATCCAAAAAGACAATCCACTTAATAATATACAAAAACTCAATAAAAAAGCACAAAGCTTAATTAGACAAAAGTGATTGAATGTCTCCTCTCACTGACTCGAAGTTCACTGATTTAAATGATTTTAAAAAATATAAATAGTTGACTCGTAACCAATATGACGATTTATGTGGAATGTCCACAAAAAAAAATCTTTTTTTTTATCCGGATTGACTCAGAATTTAGTTGATCACGAATCAAACAATTCTGTTCAACTGAAGGAGAAATTAAATTTTCATTTGGATTTTATATTTGAATTAAAATGTAAAATGAAAAAAAAAAACGGAGATACACACATCAAAAAAAAAAAAAGCTAAGAGATACAAGTCTTAGACATTCGACACAAAAATCCTCTTCTTCATTCTCTTCTTATGTACGAATTTTTTTATTTTATAAATTTTTTAAGCCGCATTTTTGCAAGCAACTATACATGACGATATGGAATCACACAAAGTTTAGTCAGCTTCTGAATGGAGTCATTAAATTCTGTTGAGTCAGTTCTTTTTTTTGCGTATAAAATCAGCTGATTGGACTTTCTTAGATTTATCGCCTTACTGTGAATTTTATGAAATAATCTGGAGATCAAGGATTCATAACAATTTTAAATATGGCTTTTGGTGCCATAAATCATGTCATAAAAAAAAATTAGATGCTCAAATTTTATTGCTGATTTTTTTAACTATAAAACAGTAAAAGACAACAACTGAATTCCATTTAGATCGATAATTTCTGGGATCAGTTATGTAATCAGCACATAAAAGTTTTTATTTGTTACACCAAATTGATTTTTATGCTGTTGTTAAAATAAAAAGAAAATAAGTGTGGAAGTACTTACTTATTCTGTTGGTTGTTGGGGGTTTGGTTGAATTTTTGATTTATTTTGCATTTATAAACTCTTTGAAATAGACTTTGTGTTTACAAATTTGAGAAAATTGAGCTTAATCCTTCTCAAATAACTCATTAAAGTCCTCTCTTCGAGACTACGTTTTTGATCAGCCCTCGAGCGTTCAAGAACCTTTTCTATCAACACAAAAAAACTCTATTCTTCCATGAAAATTGCCAACCTTGATCCAGCATCTAAATATAATCCAAACAAAAATCGCTTCATTCATAAAAATTCCAATTCAAATTCACAACTGGAACAATCTCTTTTCTTTAAAATCGCATAAAAGAGAATAAAACAGAGTCAGTGCGAAGTTTTTCCTCTTTTCTTTTATATTCGGCTTTACACAAGATGATATTTCTTTTTTTCCAGTAGATTTCACAAAGGGGGGTAATGTGGAGACGCATTTATTGCTTTTCAAAATCGCCACACTCAAGAGTTCCCTCATTTCAATTTGAAATATTTAATTGATGTTTTGCGGACGTGTTTTATGTCAACGTGTGTAGAGTATGATGTGATAATGATGCGAGTTATGAGGTAATTACTCCTCCAGGAAATTGCGTCCAGAAAATGCGACGTGCGCCATCATTGTGATTCAGCTCGCAATGATTTAAATGGCTATTGAGCTAATTGCTAGTTAAAACTGTCCACCCTTGTATTATTTGAAGGAATCTCGACTACAGTTCGCCGTAATTATTCATAATTAAATCTGATGTGGAACAAACAAAAATTCCATATTTTAATTAATAATTTTATTACATTACATTGAAGTTATTTCTCTCTCGTGTGTCATATTTTAACAATCATTTAGCACTTAATGAACTGCGACATGATGAATGCAACAACGTATTTTGCAACATTCATACGTTAAGCAAACAAATTTTCATGATTAATTATATTAAATCTAATTTCATTTACTTTCTAAAAAATTATATATTTTTGTGTACATTGCAGAGCGAGACTTTTTGATGTTGAACTTGAAACTTGATAGTGTTTGCTTAAGAGATAATATTTCGAGATGTAGTCAAAGAATAAAAGTGTGGATGCTTGTTATTCGCTCACGTTTGTCTCCTTTCTATAAAAATATGAGGAGGCTTTAGTCTGTTTTAGTTCAGTTTTAGTGCTATCCGAGGTACCTTAGCCTAGGCAACTTAACTACTGTAAGGAGAAATCATAATCAATGCTAAGAGACTAGAGCAGCAGACCCCAACCAACTTCATATTTTTTTGTTCCCCTCGTAGCACTAGTAGCCTAGGCTATGGTGCCTCGGGTAGCTAAAATTCATGTCAAAACTGCAAAATTGTTCAAAAATAATAGCATTACTTTGCATATCAACATGCGTTTCTTTCTCTTGCCCAAAACGAAACAGCAAACTTATTCCATTCGTCTTCTTCTTTTATTTATAATGTGGCGCTCTTCGCTCAAGAATTTTTCCTTTACTCACTCGCGGGTGGATGGAAATCATTTAGTAGAAAAAGATAGAATGTTGATGAATATATAAAGTGAAGACTGTTGATGGTTTTGTTTGTTTTATTTCTGGGTGACTATGAAGAAAAGCATGTTTAATAATAGACTATGAATAAATTTATAAACTATTGTTGTCAAATTAACACGAATGTGGGCTGACTTACTTGGAATGAGAATTTTCAGGTGTCCAGAGTGACTTGGTTTCGAAAAAATGTTTTCTGTGTTATTGATCTTAAGTGAAAAATTGTGTTCTTACTCACGTATCAGAAATTTTCATATGATGACATTCAAATGGAATTACTCATTTTTTTGGCGACTCAAATTAGCAAGTTTTATAGATGAATGTGAATATTCTCACATTGTGTACACCAGCTGTTGATATTTTTAATAAATAAATTTCTTTGAATGAGGCTATTTCAAATGAATTCGGATATTCATGTCAAAATAGAAAAATAAACTAGGATTTATGCGTTAATAAATGTTCTAAATTTTATGACAAATTGCCGTTTAATTTGAAAACATGCGTTTGCCTTAAGTTGTTTGTAAATCGTATGCTTGATTTAAGATTTATATTTATTATTTTAAAATATGATAAATATTTCCAAAAGTATTCGAGTTATTTGTTAAATTGATAAATAGTGACAAAGTGCGATGGCAATGAAAATGTTGGTGGGAAATTTATTCGCAATGCTGGACTCTAGAGACATTTATAAATGATGTCTGGATTTTTTTGGGAACTTTAAATTAAGCTTCAACAAAGATTGCTTTCTTTTGTCTACACTACTGTTATTTAAGTCAAAAAGAGCATCCATTAGTGACATGATCAAGAGCAATTTTAGAAGCTTTTTGAAGTTTGGCGGGGTGGGGGGTTAATCCGAAACCCCTTCTTAATAGAAATACCTTTGAACATCATTTAAGAATGTCTCCATTATTGAGTCTCCAGAAGGAATTTTAGTTATAAATAAATAAATTCCTCTAGACTTACTCAAACTCTACATCTCATAAATCTCCTCCTATCATCTCCATTTAAGCGTCTACGATCATCTAAACAAAATTTTACGATAATTTGTTTGCTTTGAAAACATCAAGAAAAATTATCATAACAGCGATATGATTAATTCAAGCATGCAAATGATGACAATTTCCCTTAATAGTATTCTTATCTTTGTCTGGTCACCCAATCATAATTCCAACAGTGCGACTTATATCACCATCAAAATGAGATTTTTTTTCTTCTCCTTCCTTCCATTCTTTCCGTCTTCAAAATATTCGAAAGAAAATCTTTTTTTGATTATTTTAGTTGTGGGAATATTTTTATATCTACATTTTCATTATTATTAATGTGATGATATACGAGGCAGTTATTTCCTCAAATTCACAAGAAATGTGTTGAGTTACCGGACTTCTCGCAATGGACTATCAAAATTTATTTTTATTTTATCAAGTTGATTTACTTTACTTTTACATTTTTTGTGGATGAGATTGACAAAGTATGTCTCGTTTGGTATGCTGATAAGAAGACAAGTCCGAATACAAAAGTATTAAGTTCATAAAAAAATATGACTGAATTTTTTGTCGTTTGATGTGTCAGAGATGCTATTTTCTTGTGACTTGATATTCATGCATAATTTATAAGTCGTACGTCAAGAATGGCTATTTTTCAGGTTGTATTATACGTGAACGACCCATGATGGAATTTTTGAGGGGATCAGCCACAATTCTTCAGAATTATTGAATCTACAAGCCAAAATTGCGCATAAAGTAAAGCATAAATCTCTGACAAAGAAGACATCAGGTGAAAAGGAACAAATTTTACAGACAAAATGAATTTGAGTTCATAATTTATATTCTCGACCTTGTATACGAAGTTTTTTCAATATGATATCTGTGTATGCTCAACCTTAAAATATGTGAAAGAGGAAAAAAATTGTTCATTCATGCTTTTCAGAAAAAAAAAGTATGTAAGAGAGTCGAGAATGTATAAAAAAAGTACTGCGGAAATGAATGGAATTTTTGTTCTCTCAGGTGGAATAAATGTGGTAGATTTTCAAGGATAATAACCGATTTTTGAGGTTTGGGCCAAAGGGCTGCATAATGCAGAATAATCGACACAGTTGTTTTGGAATTTTTTGAACAAAAATGCCATAAAAATTCGAACCTGTACTTAACATACCAAACATTTCTTACAAAACATTTTTTTTCTCTTTTATTATTTAGTAAAAAAATCCACAAAACTATTTCTTGCATGACTGTTGACAAAAAAAAAAAATACATTGAATGCTTTTAGAATTTCAGAGTTAAATACAAAAAATATTTTATGCATTATTTGTTTTATGGAAGTTTTTTTTTTCTAATCTACATTATCGTAGCGAAACGACATTAATTAATTGGAAAATTCCAAATAAAATGCACACAAAAAATATTCAATAATTAATTTTTTGTGTGTGAAATTCATTCGATGATTTCAACGAGCAAAAAAAAAACACACAAGAAAGAACATTTTTCAAAAAATGTCCAATAATTCATGACATTAAACTTTTCCATTTCTTATTTATAGGCACGCAATAAGCCAGCTGATGGAAGTCACATTGGCAAGACTGTAAGTTTTTGGCAATAAAAAAAAACAGTTTCTTAATTACTAATTTTTCATTCTTTGTTCAGCGTGAGAAAACACCAACTCCCGGCCATAAAGGTCAATCAACAAAACAGCAAGCTCATTCAGCAAAGCAACCGCCAATGGGCAAACAAGCATCCGGCAAACAAGGTAGCATCTCGATTTCAAAGGGTTCGCTTCAAAAATCAGCATCGTCGATAGATGGTAAGTATTGGTTCCTGGACAATATTTGGAACCTACAGTTCCTGTCAACATTTTTCTCTTTCAACCAAAAATTAGATCATCTCAGTTTGGTCATATCTATCAGTTATCATAATTCTCAACGAAGATTCAAATCTATCATAGACTCAGTAATTAGACCATCAGAAAATAATTCAAATTTTAATACAAAACTTCCATGACTGACTTGACAATTTTCTCTCATATCTTCCTAGATGGACGTGATTATTATCCACCAGCACCAAAACCTGGTCAGCGCAACAAGAAAAACAAGAAGAAGACATACGAGCTTTATGTTAAAATCGATATTGTGAGTAAATATAATCAGTAGATTCTATTAGTTTTTGCTGCCATTCTGGGAGCAATTTGAAAGGATTTTTTTTATCTGATTGTGCAGCTTTTTATCGTCCTAAACAAATTTTATCGGTCAACGAGTTTGTGAGCTGACAATTTTTGCAACATTTTCAATTTAAATAGAACAAATAGTAGAGCACATGCAAATGTCATGCAGAGCTATTTTTAGAGACATTATGCAATCGGAATGCCTTATAACCATTAATTTCAAATCTCAAGACACTTGTCTTATCTCAAGTTTATGGATAAGAACAAGAGAATCTGCACAGTCAGCTAAATACACCAAAAATCCTCTCAAAAGCTATAAAATCCTCTTTAAACACCCAACTACTTACTAATGACGCACAACAATCGCAATTAGGGTTCCTAATTGTACAGTTCATATGTGAGGAAGTGGAACAAAAAGGACGAAAAAGTTTTTTTGATTTATGAATCGAAACGAAAAGAGCGAAATTAATTTCACTGCTTATGCAAATATGAATATGGCATAAAATGTATGTCATGCATAGACACAGCCACAAGATAGAAATGATAATGATATTAAATTATATAGTTGAGTTGTGAGCATGAAAGTACAAGCTCCTACATATGCAAAACTAATAACATGTTTATGAAAAGTGTATATGTTGAATATGCCACATCAATTATTCATGTTTTTAATAGCGAGAAAATAAGCATATTAATGATGTACGATACATATCACTGAAACAAGCAATATTTTTACCAACTTAAAAAAATTCACTTTTCCACTCGCTATTGCCAAAAAATGTTTCCATCTTTGTAGCTTGCCAAAAAAAAAATCACATACTCGTGGATAGAGCAAAGCATGAATGGAATGGAAAATCGATATTGAAAAAGCAATTTTTGGGCTATATCAGGAATCAAGAATCGTCAAATTTTCTTAATTAAATTAAAATCGATTTTTTTCATCATGTCCTCTTTCTGTATATGCCATTTACCAATGTTTAGATCGGTCGTTGATATGGTCTGATTTTATTTCTTTATCATGACACATGTTTCCGATTATGCATATGATCAAGATTAAATAATTGGATATGTCTTTGTCCTTTGTGAGCTTTAAGATTGTTTACGAAGATTTTTATTGTAACTCTAATCTAATTTGTTGCTACAATGAGGAATAGGATTTTTATGAATTTCCCATAATTACAGTACAGAATTACTTAATATTTGTTATGATAAAGCTATTGTCTTAGATTAAGCACGTGATCAAGGAGGGGAGATTTTGGAACAAATCCCTTCTTTTCAACAGAAAATTCTACATCTACTTTAAAAATCTCTGGCTACGCCGCTGGTCTAGATATGAAAAAATACCCAGCAATGTTATTATTGTCTCGTGCTGCTCATTATCTGCAAATTTTCATCCACAATCTTATTTCAAACAAGCAAATCTGCCATTGTTTGTAGTAAACTCCCATCGAAGCAGTTCTTAGTATCCTCAAAATTGAAGAAGCGTGACAAAAATGCAAATCTGACAATAAGGAACAACCCACAACCCTTTTTCCACTGCCAAGGTCAATATCAGATTTTTTATATCAGATTTTTTTCTGAGCAAGAGACACAAAACTAATGTTTATTGGAATTTCCAATTCTTTTTGAATGATTCACGATTGAATTCCCCAAAGCTGAAAACATAATAATTTTTGTAAGTCATTCTCACACCTTTCATTCTAAGCATTACACAATGATTCAGATTCTGAAAAAATGTTCAAAAATTCCTTGTGCACAATACTTTTCCGACACATTAGAAAATTGAAAGTTTTTGTTAATTTCTCTTGCATCTTCTAGATAATGTTTTCGTTCATTGCTCAAAAAATCAGTCCTTAATATAAAGGATAAACATGATTTTTTACCAAAACTTTGTAAAAGTTTATCAAAAAATATTGTGCATGATCAAATTTTGTATGAAAATTGATGTAAACTTTGATCGCAAATATCTCGAAAACGGCATCAAACGGCATGTCCCCAGTTGTATGGGAGATAGATTTAAGCTTAATTAATTGATTTGTATAGGTTTCAGAGAGGTCTTTGGAAGACTTTTAAACTTATGAATAGTTTAAGTTTTGTAAAAATACTCATTCATTTTTAAGGCTTAATAAGCAGATTTCTATTGAGTTTGTTGTTTTTATATGTAAAGCTAAGCTTAAATTAGCTAGCAACTGCTTTCAAGACATCCAAATAACAACTTAAAGTAGAAAAAATCATATTTTTTTTTCATACACAAATTGTAAACAAATTTTGGGTGAGATTAAATTAATGATTTCTGGAGTTAGACATCAAATTGGGACGAGATATTTTCATAGGATATGCCTTAAGTTAAGATCTTTAATCTGGCATTTAAAAGATGAAGTTTAAATAATATGTTATTTTTGAATTTTTGAACATTTTTTCCGATTCTGAATCATTGTGCATTACTATAAATTTGTAGTAAAAAATCATAATGTGGCACAATAAAAGGAAATCAAAACGGACTGAATGGGGTTACACGTGAAAGCCATTTACCTAATCACACTTTTCACTTTAGCTTGATGTTCTGATTATTCCTAATGAGAATTAAAAAATTTCAGCAATTATTTCTTGTTATCCAAACTAGGTTAAATCAAAGGATTTTAATGGCTTGCTCTAATTTCTATGCCAATGGGAGGTTTGATAACGTTTCATGCTTAATGTATTATTTGTCTAATACTTTAATAACATTTGATTGAAGGCTTCAATCATCGAAATGATTCCGTAAGCTTCCAACAAAACTGATATGATTTTCCAAACAAAATTAATTTCCTACTTCCAATTTCGTCGATTTATTTTCTTCCACATCATTTATAATGATGATGAAAATAATACAAAACAAACATACAGCAGCAATCGACGTGTATGTATAGCTCACAAAAACGTTTTTGTATTTTTTAATCGTCATCGAGATTTCTTTCATTTTTCCACCACAACACGTTCAGCTTGCGGCATCTTTATGTGCGTATAATTGAAACGTCATCAGAAACGAAGGAATTATAGACGGAAATGAAATTTTCTTTTTTCACCGACAATCTTACTCGCATTCTTTTCTCATCTCTTTATTTTTTTACTTCTGAACATGTGCTTGTATGTGGTTGAGTGAAAAATCAGAGCGACTCTCATAAGTGTGCCTCTTAATTGAATTTTCTCAAGCTATTGAGTAGAATTTGAAAAATAATTTTGATATATTTGGAGATGCCCGAGGAGCACAAGATTGTAGAAAGACATTACATTGTAAAATTAATAAGATTTATGCTGATTTATGACTCATTTTTCATAATATTTGCTTTATATTTGGAGAGTCTTGGACTACAAAAAGAAATAATGCTTGCTTGCCGGCATGAAATCAGCCATTCGAAGAGTTGAAATCTCAACAAAATTCAGACACAATTTCAATTGAGCGTAAATTCTTTCTACATGAACATTCACAAGAAATTATTAAATTAGGTTTCTAAAATTAGAAACGTCAACGCTGATCAAGTATTTTGTGTTTTATATCCGAAAATATTTTTTTTAAATTTCTTCTTCTGCTTCTTATCACTCTTTTCACCTTCTCTTCTAGACATTGTCTAAAGTAATTTCTTTTTGAGCTCTTTAAATTTTAAAACGCTGTAACTCACAATTTCTGTCCTCGATATGAGGAATTAAATGTTCTAGCAATTGTAATGTATCACAGCTATGACACGGCTCTAGCTTCTAATAGTAAATTAATAAAACAATAATAATAATAATAATAATAATAATAACATTGTCTAGTTAATATCGAGGGTCCATTTCTGAATAACGTACTTTAGTCTCAAATAAACTTTATTTACACCTCTCGTTGAAGTATATCGAATTTTATTGAGTGCCCTGGGTAGTCCTAAAATCAGTCTTTAAATTCAGTCAGTGGATTTTCTGTTTTTCTTAGTCTTGTTTTCTCAATACAGCCTTATTGCTATACTCAAGGTTTAACAAGATGATTTAGGATTTAAGTTTTAAGAAATATTGTGCACTAGGATATCCTTAGGTGTGCCGTGGAACCTAGTAAAAAATATCAGAAGTCTAAATGTGCTGTGACTGAAAATGTTTCGACAACACTGCACCAAGGCATAAGGCTCATTAGACAGCAATTTTGAATGCACAAAATTAAAAGAAAATAAAGAACTTTTCTTAGTAGAATTTTAGAGATTAGTAGTGATTGGTGGGTCAAAAAGTGGCAACATAGACCTTGAAAAAATATTCCTACACATAAACTATGAATAAAATGAAGCATCTGCAACCACATCTGCTGTTTATTTAATTCACACTTCTTTTCAAAAATTGTTTAAATAATATTTTGTGAAAATTATTTTTATATATTTTCACATCCATTGTATCTTTACAAAATTTAAACAAGGGATTTTCTTTTCTTTTCAAAAATGATCATTTTCTCTTCTTTCGCTGATCATCTTTGAGGAATAAAATAAATATTCTCACACATTTCTTATTTCGCCGAAACAGTTTCAATTTTAACGTGAAATTGTCGAGTGTACTTAAATATTATTGGCTATTTTATGGAATAAATATTCAGCACAACAATAATAAATAACAATAAAAAGAGAATTGCGTGTGGAATATAAAGTGCTAACACGCAAATTATCAATCAGCGGATTCTATTAATATACACAAGAAAAGACATTTATGACACAGTATTGATGACATTTTTGTTGTACTGGAACAGCGACTTTTGTGAAGCTAGTTTGATGATTTTTATATTCTAAAATATTTATTCGGTATCAATTGACCGAACAGCTTTAAAATTCATATTAAACATTTAAACCACAAAAAAAATCATCCAGACTTCACAAAAGTCTTAAAATGTGTGTCATTTCCACGTTTACCAACAAATCGATTTCAATTATTGACGTTCAAATTGGCAAAGGAGCTATAAAGTATAGTCTATGATCACATCCGACAGAAAACTTGATATCATCGCATCATGATACATTCTCAAATAAAATCATAAAAAAACATAATGTCTGTCAAGCGTCCACAAAATCCACCTTCGGGCACATTCGAATGTGCGATGAGAAAGATGTGACAAATGAACAGATGTTTGATGAGCTTAAATTGAAAGAGAGGGAGAGATTTAAACTATTCTATGAGACAAAAATGAAAATGGCCTGAAAGTCAATGCCAAATAAAGAAAACTTTGAGAGTTTGAAAATTATTGGATTTGAGTTATTGGCGCATTTAAAAACTTATTTTTGAGTGACAAAAAAGTCATGTCTGATTAATTTCAACAAGCAGGAAATTTTTGAAAATTGTTCTAAAATATACGAAAATGGTTAGATTTTAAAATTATTCGAGAATGTTCAGGAATTGCTTACCCTTGACCAATTGACTGTCAACCTTCAAATGTTTTCGCTATTTTTTTTCACACAAGAAAATTTTCATCATCGTCGTTGTTTTTTAAAGAAAATAAAAAAATGAAATCATCAAGGCTTTATGTCTCTTGCTCTTCTCTTCCTCTCTGATGATATTTTTTTGGCAAGTGTCAACAGACTCATTTTTATAGTCTTCAATAGATGAACTTTAATAAGATCGTAAAAAACACTTTTCTCTGTATTATCAGAAATCAGTGAAATCGGAAGTGGATTTTTGTGGACTGCTGATTGAACGTTTATGTGAAATAGAAATTGACGAGGTTGAGGTTTTATCTTGATAAGGATTTTAATTAAAACAGCAAGGCGGAAGTGAATTTTAGAAAGAAAGAACAATAAAAGACAATTAAATTTTATTGCGTCTATCCCACAAAAAAGTTTTAATTGTGGACCGTTGTTAAAAGTCAATTCAAAATTGGTAGAAGATAAGAGCAAATAAAGTCATTTAAAATGGCTACACAAAGCACTGACAGTGAAGAAGTTTATAAACGAGAATATCAACGTTTTCAGTCAATTGTTGGCAGTAGTTTTGTTCGACAGAAATCTGTGAGTGAATTTTATGCTTAATTAAGATCTCTCAAAGTTAATTTATTTCTGACCAGAAACAAAACATTTATTTTTAACCAATGGGACATAAATTATGAGTTTCTGGGAATAGAAGTGGTTTGATTCCAATGATGTGTCTAGTTCTCGATATCGTTAAAGAATTCATCAATGTCAATTAATTAATTCACTGCTTAAGTGTGCTACAAAAACTTTTAAATATAACAACAAATCATGATGAGCACGAGATGACAAAAATAATCGAAAATCAAAGTATTGCCAATTGACAGAAAATTTCTCTCAGTGAATTTGCAAATAGCAAGGAAAATTGTGAGAGAAAAAAAAAATTATCGAGATGAAAGTCTTTTTAAAAAAATGAGAAGATGACTCATTTCATCAATCCGAAGATCTCGTTTAAAAAAATCATGACTTTACAAAAATAACAAAGATTGCTTGTTACAGAGAGAGCAATGCCTTTAAAGAGATCAAAGAAAATTTTAAGTTTAAACTTTCATCAAGATTTAAATGTCCAGTTCCAATTCAAAAGTCATTCAACTTCTAAAATTCTCAAAATGTAGCAAACTATCCAAATAAAAATCCTCATCAATTTTGCATCAGGTGTATATCGTGTTTGATGCTGCTGATTCCAAACTTTTCAATATCATTTCACATAAAAAATTCACAAAACTTTCCTTTTTTTATTTTCCAATTTTTTTTTTCACCCTTCATCTTCAATTCCCCAAACTTTCAGCATATTTCTTAGTTTATTCATCTCCATCCATTCAATTTGGAAGAACCTCACTCAGTTGAGTAGATGAGAAATTGCCATAACGTGCTCTATGACTACGATAAAGGATTGTAATATCGCGCACATATGTGTTTCAATTATTATGTCATGTGATATGATTTACTCCATTCTATCATAAAAGCTCTTATTCTTTACTATTATTATTATTCCACTTCTTCTTATTTCATTGTTTCCATAACAATATGAAAAAGTATGCATGATATGAATGTATATAAAGATACGAAGAAGAAGAAAAAGGAAGTAACAAACTTGTTCTTACATTTAGGCTGTAATTCCTCATTCTTATTTGAATATTTGTCGTGTTTTCATATTTTTTTTATCTCTGCTGTTTTGGCATAGAAATAACAAATATATGAAATTGAGGTTCCGATGTGGCACAGATGAACTGATATCAATATTTGGAACTGCTGTCCTCATTTCTTTCATATTTATGGAACGACGTGTTGTCAATTGATTGGAATCTGATTTTGACTTTCTTACATTGTGGAACAATTTAAACTTTAAAGCTCTTCCTATTCCCATTTCATGCTTGAAATCGATTTAAAGTTTTCGGGATAGTAAGAACGAAAATTTTCCGTGACTACAAAGAAAAACTCAATTTTAACTTTTTTTCTTCTTCCTCATTGTTGACTTTTCTCGTCTACTTTTATGTTATGCTGTATACACAGTGTATATGAGAAATAAGTAAAGTTAATTCATTGGGAAATGAGAGGAAAAAAGTACGAAAATTTTCACTTTACTAATCAACTTCTCTTTTCTTGCTTATCACTTTTACAGTCGGAATATGGTTTAACTGAGGAGCAAGTAGCAGGTGAGCACACTATTTAATTTTATTTACTTTAATTTTAAGCATATAAGAGCGAGAATGGAAGTTTTTCCTTCTTGTTAGCTTCTTAAAGATACATAATGAGTCAGTCTGTTTTGTAGAAGTGCTAATAAGATCTGGAATTAAGCATCCAAAGACTATCCATTAAAACATTCCAAACAAAACTAAAGAATTAGGATTTACAGATCTAAAGCACAAACCTTGTATCAAAATTGCACAAATTCGACAAACAATAAATATGTCAATGCTGAACATTTAACCCGAATTTCCCACAACTTCACCCGATTTCTGACCTCAAAAAAAAAACTTTTCCAAATAACATTGTCTCTGTGCAGCACACAAAAAATGGGAGCATCTTTATTATTCAGATTCACACAGAGTTGCTAGAGATCTGAATATTTATCCTGGGAGAGAACGACGGTTATAAATTTTTATTTTCTCCCACACTTGACACATTTTCCATGTATGTTCTTTGCGGTATTTTTAATATCATGCATAAGAAAATGTATGCAAAGTACATGCTTAATATAAAGTGGTCCATAATATAAAGTGAAGTTGATCAATATTTAAGATGGGAAAGGTAGGGAAATGTTTAGAGCAGCAGATGGTTTAATTAAAAAAATCTTCGTCATCTTCTTACTCAATTTTCAATACGATAGCGTCATTGAAAATGTTTGGAGAAGATTAAGACTGATTCATACTGATGTGAACCTTAAGGAGGCTTAATTTAGTATTAATCATGTAATTTTTTTAACCATTAATAACATTTTGCATTCACTTTTTCAGAATTCAAAGAAGTTTTCATGCTTTTCGATAAGGATGAGGATGGTTCAATAACAATGGCTGAGCTAGCTGTTGTGATGCGTTCACTTGGTCAACGTCCAACGGGTGAGTAACAAATTAACCCAGATAGCACAAGTTTTTTAATCGATCAGAAACTTGATGAAAAACCATCATGAAGCTGGATTCAATTTAAATCCAGATACACGCTAGAGTCATGTCAGCTTTGAATCGGATTTCTGATTGATTAACCGACTTTTGCTTTCTGAATAAGTTTTTGCCACATTAAATTACATTAAAAACATTTTAAAATTGAAAGATAATTTCAATATTATATAATGCATGAGTTCGAATCTCTCAAAAATCGCTCAAGTTTAGAAAGGTTTAGTATCATCAAATAAATATTTTTTTTCATTCCACAAATAGAAACTGAACTCCGAAACATGGTTAATGATGTCGATCAAAATGACAATGGCATGATAGAGTTCAACGAATTTTTGCAAATGATGTCAAAAAAGATGCGCGAGGGTGACAGTGAAGATGAGTTGAAGGAAGCTTTTAAGTAAGTATTGAAATTTGTTTGAATAGCTTTGCCTAAACATTTGCCAGCTTCTCATCATCATCATCATTTGCTTCCAAATAAATAAATCCGTGATGATAATGTCATGCTTAATATTATGCTTATCTCATATCTTAATGTAACGTCTCAAGAGAAATGACTAAAATTTTTTTGGTGCTCTCAAAAATGTATAATCGACATGGTGCTGCTGTTGTTGATATTGCTGTTGACTTAGTAATGTAAAATATAATAATGCTTCAGCTAATGCTTTATGATTGTATCGTTGTGTTAAGTTAATCAAGATATTGATGGAATTTTTTCTCAAATTTTTAACGATTTTAAAGTTTGAGATTAAAGTCTTCATTGCTTGATGAACATTACTAGAAGCAGAAAAAAGTATGGGAATTATACATGTAAATCTACTCACCAAACTTCATCCTGCCTCTAAAATTATATTATCATAGGTATATGCGATCGATTTTCCTCGTAAAACTTTTTTACATCTGAGCTGAACAGCTTATCGGAAATAAAATCTTGAATATGAAAACTTAAGAAAGATAATCCTTTGTTATTTGATTTACATCCACGCTATTTTGAGTTGCTTCTCATCCTTTCTTACTAAAATCAATAAAATTCACTTTTTAGTATCTTCAGCACTAAGCATATCACCCTTAAGAATACTTCTTGTGTATTTGTTGGTTTACTTTGAGGGCTTATTCTCGTACGATGGCTATTGACGTATCCAATTTTCATTTTAACAAATTTAAACGCAACTTTTTGACTCAATAAGATAAATTCGACTGATTTTATTTAAGTTGAATTTTTGATAGATTACTTTGATGACCACAAATCGAAGAAATCTCAATCTTATGACAATCAAGTTCATTGACTCTAATATTTCTTGTACTTAAAGCTCAAACAATTCTGACAGAACCATCCAAAGGATAAATTCACATAAATTCTATGAATCTTATCTCACCATCCCAATAATGTCATTCTCAAAACAGGCTTGATATGAAGTGAAAATAGGAAAGAAAACGAATGGAAAGCTTTAAAAATGAGACAAAAATGCGCTTTATGTGCATCAATTTTCCATCATAAAATATTCAATTCTCTGTTTTTGTCACGTAGGTTTGTAACATTTAAGGCACACGAGCAGAAGATTCTAGTAAAATTGACATAATTTTCTCTCTAGCAAGAAAAAAAATCAATACAGGCTTGGATCATTGAATTCAAATTAGGATGGTAGAGAAATTTTTACTACTAAATCCTTCTGTTATGGTCTCTGTATCATGCCAAGCATAATTTTCTATTACATAAAAAAATAGTTTCAAAAGTGTCATTACTGTTGTATGATATTCTACTACATCTCCATCCTCTTACTGCCTTATTCACTTCTCAATGAATGTGTCACTCATGGAATATAATGTCGTTTATTGCTATATCTAGCCTTGTTGTTGTTATTCCCTTCTTGGTGCTTCTTGGATATTTTATGAAAAAATAAGACAAGATTGAATGAAGTAAAAATGAATCTCATGAGATGTAAGGCTCGGTTGTTGATTGAGCTTGAAATTAACTGCTTAATAATAATTTATCAATCTTTAATTCAGTGAAAATGAAATTGCACAGTTGATGAGTGAATTATGTCCACAATTGTTATGAAATCAGAGTAAGAAGGCACAAGTCAAAATTTGACCGAAATGCTTCATTCAAAAAAATCCATTGCCTAGCCAAACGAAACAGTTTTCATTGTGTTGCATTTTAGAAAATCAATAAATCATTCAAACTAAACTTCTAATTTAAAACTAATTCCAATCTACAAAACTATTCGACTGCATAAATTGCATTAACTCTAGCATTCAATAAATGAAATTCATTTAAAATTTCTCAATAATTGAACAAAAAAACAAGCCCGAAGCAATTCACGGACCAAGAAAAAAGCAACATTGAAATGCGTTTTAAATTGAAAGCCAACAAAACCGACCGTTAGTGGTTGGATGTGAGATGCTGAAGAAGAACTTACAAACAAAAAAGTGAGAATAAGAAGGAAAAAAAAAGCAGCAAAATCCCAAATGGAATTTATTGCAATGCTCTTTTTGTGCTTATTTGCTTTTAGATGGGAAATAATTTCGAAGTTCCTTGAGCTTCTCAATGATCCAAATAAGGTTTCAAGTTGAAAATGGAAACTTTAAGCTTTTAAAGGCGCATTTTAGGAAAGGAAATAGAAAAATCACCTTAAAAGTAAGGAACAGATTCTTACTTTCTCAATTCATCTGAATGTAGTTAACTCTTAACACAGCCAGTTCCTCTGAAAACTAACCAGACATTCAAAAACAATATTCATGCAAAAATCTTTGTCACCAGAACATTGCAATAAAGCAGACGAAGAACCGAAAAGAAATTCAAGGCCAGAAAAACTTTTTTTTCTCCTTCGAAAGGCATCGAAAAGCAAACAAACAATGAAGAGAAAATGCAAAAAAATCCTTATTTCTTTATGGATATCTCGGTTTTTTTTACAAACACAGATATCTCGAGACTTAGCGTCTCCATTTTTCCAGATTTTGAAATGAAAAGTTTTTTGTTTGAAAGATCCTCACATGTTCAATTTGTGATACATTCGAGGATGTCAAGATTTTTGCTTGTATCGATAGCTGGATTCGGTGAGACTGAAAATCTTCAGTTCTAGGTTCTTTTTTCTGCTGGTTCTTTCAAAAACCTTCAATCTATGCTAAATTAGAATGCAAATGTCGACACTTGATTGTTATCCATTGACTGCTGACTATGCCAAATGCGCTCTTTTGCTTTCCTGTTCTTAAAAACATCCAAACTTGCTCTCCGGGTTATCGCGCTTATTGGAAAAATTCCTACAAAATATTTTTATTGTTTTTCATGCTGAAACCCGTCCCAAGCATCTAAACACATAATTACATATTTTATTTTCAATGATTTAATTTATTGATATGTTTCCATGCATGAATGACTATATAATAGAAATTCAAGGCAAAAAAGAATTGTGTGGGTTAGATAAAAATCTTATTTCCGCTATTGTGACTTCATTGTCATTTTATTCTTCTTATCTGAAAAAAGCTGAAGAAGCTGTAAGATTTGTATGAAAAAATTCTCATTATGCAGCTTGTTGTTTTTGTATCATTATTACTATAGCTATTGTTATTATTTTACGAGATTATAGCCACATTCTTGTATTGGAATCTATGCATGTCATTGAGTACTTATTTGGTTCAATTTCATATTTATAAAGAACGCTAGTTTCAATTAACTAATGAAAGAATAAGTAATGGTTCTGTCAAGGCGTAAATATTTATGCCTTTTGATCATACATAAGCATATATGGATTGTGCTTCAACATGCACAGCTCTTTAATCTCTCCTTTTAATTATGATTCCATTTTTACCTCTCCTTTGTGCTAAATTACCAGAAAATTTATTGGATTTATCGAGATTTATGAGAATTTATTGGATTTACATGAAATTATTGAGCTTATTCATGCTAAATATAGAAACTGATTGTAATAAATTTGAATAAAGTTCCACAGATTGCATGTTCCTTCAATTTATGTGAGCTGATCATTAGCTTGAAAGAAATTGAATAGCTTTCCTAAGTTCATTGATTTTCACTTAACTTTGAGGCTCTTTGTAGCTCATCATAATATGCAAACGAGACATTACATTAAGTTTAAAGTCATTTTACAATGACGTCATTAATTCTTTAAATCTCTCAATAGATGCTTCGATAAGAACAACGATGGATTGATATCATCATCCGAGCTTCGGCGTGTTATGACAAATTTGGGTGAAAAGCTAACGGAAGAGGAAGTTGATGACATGATAAAAGAAGCTGATATGGATGGTGACGGTATGGTCAATTACGATGGTAAGTGAACATCATTATCCAAGTCATGTGGATGATTGTGCATTAAATTGTTATTTTCAGAATTTGTAATGATACTTATGGCGCGCAACTAGTGTCAGCTTTGCGAGCAGGCTTTCCCTCTGAAGCCTGTTAATTGATCTCTCTCCTGAGCCCATGCTGCATAATCTCAGTGTTGAAGAGATCACACTTCTAAGAAACTATTTTTTTTTCTCCCTCATGAATGCTTCTTCCGACTTCTTTTGAACAAAGAAATCAAAAAAAAAGTGCATTTATACATGACAAAAACGTAAAAAAAGAGGGAGATATGAAAAAAATTTGGAACCTAATTTTATATTAATTATAATTAATTTAAGATACAAAAGAAACAATGATAAAATGAGTAAATAAGTTAGTTCAAAAAAAAAAGCGAATATAATTAAAGTTTATAGAACGCGAATATTATTATTTCATTATCAAAACTGAAAACATTATCAAGAAGATTAATGAGGCTGAGCTACAAGAGAACAAAGGAGTGTGTTGTTGACGGTTGAATGAATTGAAGGCATTCCACGTACCAGGTGAACTAAAAAAGTTGGTTTTTGCTACAAATTGATGGGATTAAGATGATTGTTTTATTTACAGCCTTTAAACATTCAGCAGTCTAATGATTCCTTTTTGATTCTCGAGTAGTTCAGAGTAAAATTTAAAACATTTTTCCTATTTACATTTATTGATAAACTAATAACAAGAAGATTAATGAATGAAAAAAATTTATAATTTTTTATATCATTCTATAAATAAAATATTAAAAAATTGATGATCGACTGGTTCAATTAGTCGTTGAATTTAGGATCAAGAAGTTGTTTTTTTTTTCAAAAATAAAAATATTTATCATTTTGTATTGTTATGAATGCTGTCAGAGTTGATGGATTGAAATGTTTGCAAATACCCAAAAAACAACTTCTCAATTTATGACTTGAAAGTTATTCAAATCAAACTAGGTCAAAGTTTCCATAACAATTTGGAATTATTGCAACATCTTTTACACATTGAATTCAATCCTAATCCACCAACTCTGACAACAAACAAAATACAATTTTTTGAATATCATTGATCATTGAAAAAGTAAGAAAAAAAGAGGGAAAGAAGAAATAAAAAAAAATATGATTCATTGAGGATCCATACATAATGCCCATATACACATATATACATATACATAATGAATAAATATATAATAATAATAATAATAATGATAATACACTATAAGAAAGAAGAATAACAAGATGATGAAAAAGAAGCATAAATAAATAAAATAGAAATATCATTGAATGACAAATTGCAAAGCCGGCGCCAGGAACGATAATAAAAGAAAAGAAAATCCGAGGAAATGAAAATGAAGATAAAACTACGAAAAAAAAAATAATAAAAAGATGGGAAAGATGGGATAGAAGTGATATCTTATTGAGGGATAATTTCCGAATAAAAATAAAAATAGGATGAAGAAAACAAAAAAATTGATTGAAGTTGTAGACGAAAATCACGAGAAAAAACCATCATTCGTACTGCATATGGCTGTCATTTTAGATATAAAAATAAAGATAAAAAATAAATATGATTCTTTCAAGGAGATGATTAATTAGATATGCGTTCTATGAAGTTAATTAAATAATCAAAAACAAAGAAGAATTCATCGTTGGAATATTTATTAACAAATTCAGTCATTGCCATTCACTTTAAATTAAGGAGGTGCTGGATTCTCTTCTTGGTATCTAATTTGATTTGGAGAAACAACTTGTGTAGCAAAATGAGGAGCATCAAGATTGAAGATCAATCTAGGTCAAATCTAGATGGATGTTAGGCAAGTAAGAAGATCAGTACAGCAAATACTGAAGACCCAGCACCGAAAAACAGTTTTGTTCAATTTTTTACTCAAAATTTCGCGTTTTGTATACAAAACCTCAATTTGATATTCAAGTTACTCTCGATTCTATAAAACTTTCGTTACCGATTAACAAATTTACTGAAATTTACTCAAAATAATAAAAAGTTGTTAGAAAGTTCAAAGTCGCACAGATATTTAATAAAGAATAACAAATTTAAAATGATAATAACAGCAAATTGCCATTAAATCTCCTGGAATACATATTATAAGAAGTCACAATGAAACATTTAGCACAAACAATAGTGAAAAAAAGAAGAATTTTCATCGCACGACCAGACTCATTAAGGATAAGCATGGCGTGAGAATGGCGTTGAAAAGTTGAACACAACATTAGACATTTTTCCTCTTGATTCAATTTACTAACTGTTAGATGAAATGAAATATCCACAACTTTAAAGAAAAAAATAGACAAAAATGATAGTAGCTGCAACATTCAACCCTCTCATACCATTAAAGATAGAAAACATTTAAGGAATAAAAAAAAAAGTCATAATTACCACCCAATAGGAAGCTTCACATAATTAGACACACTGAAAAAAATTTATAACTTTTGCATCTGCTCCGTCATTTATAATCCTATTATGGTCTTAATTATCACCTTAGCTAATTGTTTGTTAAATACTGAAGCTTTGGACGGGGAAGAAAGTTTGTCTTTAGTTTTTTTTTTCGTGCTGTACAAGTTATTAGAGCTTATGGATGTGTTATTTTTCCTGTGATAATCTTCGACTGTCTCATGTCTTCAAGGTAAAAAAAATATTTCTATGCGATTTCTTATGAAAAATTTTTCAATCTTTTTATTTGAAACTTAATTTTTAATTCTTGTTGATTTTGATAAAAAATAATGAAAGAAGTTTTCTGATTAAAAAAAATTCAATTTCTTTTATTTTATTTCCCATCTAAAGCTTCAATTCACACCCACAATATAAAGTAGATGCCAGAAACTTGAATGTTAAATGTACTATCAATGTTTGGATGATCTATGTATGTAATAACGATGTGATGTGATATAAAGATTAGATGTGATGATTGATTCTTTATCATAGTTCATGACTTTATTTCGATTATTAAATAGAAGCGCTCCATTTGGTTCAGAGTAGTCTGCTTATTCACTCTAAATCAATATCCAATATTGAAATTTCCCACCATTAAATAAAGGTTTGTGGGATGCAAGTGCAAGTGTCTTTTGACATTTTTCAACTAGTTGCATTTAGTGACACGATCAATCTTCCCACTCCTCTTCATCGATTCTTATCAAATAATCCACACATAAAGTATAAAATGATAAACTCCTGACACAAAAACACATCAAAAAAATAGAAAGAGAATTTATTTATTTTTCGACAATTTCATTATGCACGGAAAAGCATGAAGAAGCCAGAAAGTGTTGAAATGAAAAATTATTTTGCATATGTATGACAAACATAAAAACATCAAGAAAAATACAATAATAATCAAATAGAAATGAATATTTATTACAAGAAATTATATGAAAAAAAAAATAAAAGTTTTTCCATATTTTTTGACACAAAATTTTTTCGATTATTTTTATTATCACGCATATGGTATGGGAAACATAATCACAGAGACACGCGCATATATACAAAATAGAACACACATATACACAAACTCCGTATAGAATTAATGTCACTATAGATGAAATATTTAGAATATAAAAATGCGAATAGAATGAGAGTGATTTTTGGGAGGTTTTTGAGGTTAATTGGACTTTGTGCTTTCACAGAACATTCATTCGAATTGACCTCAAAGCACACTCAATAATCCATAAATCAAAATAATATAAAAAAAATTTCTTTTCATACTTCCGCTTTAAATTTAAAAGATAAAAAATATTTAAAATAATAATAGTAACTTGAAGATGGTTGAGAGTGAATTTCGTAATGGCACTAGGAATTAAGTATGAAGAAGTTAATAACGAATCAAATCTAATTAATTATTATTCATAAATACAGTAACAAGCATGGAAAAGTCGTCAAGGAATTGAAAAACAATTTAGCTAAATCAGAGTCAAATGCGGGGTGTGAACAGCTTAGTGTACAAAAATTAAAAATCATCAAGTGTGCATCCTCTGATCGAATCGTTTAACCCCCTTCTGGCTAGAAATTAATTTTTCAGTTCTTAGCAGTACTTTATGCATAAAATAATTTTCATTTATTGTTAATTTTATGATAATATTGACTATAGCCAATTTAAATGCCGAAAGGAATATTATTTATAAATTTCGTGGAGCCTATTATGAGCCTAAAATTTTTATTTATTAATAAACTACAACACACAGCATGCTCTCATGTATATGAAATATTGTTATTAAAAATTGATCCCTCGATAATGATATGACGAGACATAATTGAGTTCAAGCTATACAGACACACAAAAACACACAAACATACTCATGATATAAATATGAAAATATGCATTAATGTGACTCTCTTTCTCTCTTTTTTGAATACACAAAAGAATTAAATAAAAACCATAAAAACAAGCCACATCCAAGTGGAGTTATTATGAGGAATAAGTAAATAATTGAATTATGAAAAATAAATAAAATATAGAACATAAGATATTTGCCTATGAATGAAAAAAAAAACAGAAGAATATATTAATTTTATATTATTATACGATGAATCAATAAGTAAATGAAATTAAATATGTATGATGATGAAAAAATACGAAACCAGGATGATTTATGAGATGAAATGGATGCAGAAAAGTAATGAGAAGAACTTTTATTGCCATCGAGCATTATTTGTTATTTATGAAGCATTTTCAATAATAATTTTCACTTAACACCTTACTTTATTATTCTATTAAGCTTAATCTTCATCCTTTACTATCTATAATCTTTAAAGACGTCAAACCAAAGACAATATACCTTCCTTAAAAATTTCATCTTTCGTTCACTATTTTCAATGCTATTAACTAGTTTCTATGAAAAGGATCACCCAATTTTAATGCATCTACATTTGTGGACGATCCCTAAATAAGCGAAAGTTTTCTCATTTTTGAAATTTGAGTCTTCCGCACAATTTCATTAAAGTTCAAAAGACACAACAATAATAGACGAGATGAAAAATATATTTTAATGAATATTATAAAAGAAATTTCACAAATTTTAATTTGCACCTTTCTTTGTCCTAATATTTAAGATTTTTGAAAGTTATCGTCCTCCTTAAAACTTAATTGTTATGAAGTAATTTTTCACTATGACTCGATTGCAAATAGTTTTATTTATCTATTTTATTCAAGAATTATTAATCTTTGACTTAGAATGAAAAGTATAGAACATATAATTTGAATTATCAATCAAGTGAATAATGATTGAAAAGGTTTTAGACACTAGAATCGCAGGATTTGTTGTTAATATGTTAAAACTATGGAATTGTTACGTATGAGATATATTTAAAGGGATTCAAAAGCTATAATTTCAGTAAGACTAGCTTAATGTATTACCACAATTGAAGTTGATTTAAATAATAGAATTAATGTTTTGACAACCTTTAAAAATGAAGAAATATCCTAGATTAATTTAAAATGTTCTTAGCTTGTTTATCTTGCTGATTCTAAGAATTCTGGAAATCGATTTTTTAAATTCCCAATAAATTCATCGAAATCAGCAAGATAAACAAACCAGGAACATTTAAAAACTAATTTGAGACTTTTCAATAAGTCAAAACCTTGATCAGAACTTCAAATACATTTCATGCTACATATCCCTGTAACTTATTTAGTTAAATTGTTTAAAGATCTCATTTAGAAAAGTTTGACTTCTTGTTTTTGCCTAGAAGTCACGAAATAGGAGCTTGAGTGATTAGAATTGAATTGTTTGTTTGAATTAGAAGTGGATTTTACAGATTAAAGGATGTGAGTTTAGAAGTTTATGCAAATTGAATCATTAAAATGTAATCTGCACACACAGGAAGCTTTTATCTCCTTAATAATCTTAAAGACGATGTAAAAATCATAATAATGTGCAATAAAATCGTTAAAGCACCACATTAGCATTAAATCAGTGAAAAATTGTTGCCAAATTCACTCGAACGCAACATGGCTCTCGATAAAGTCATAAACACGTCAGAATGTGGCTTAGAAGGAAAGAAGAAAATAATTTATATTATCAGAAATCAAAAAAACATTACGTTTTATGATAAAAGCTTCCAAAATTCGCATGACATTGACATTATTACGACATTGATATCCATAAATGTACAAAGTTTCTTAACCTTAACGTAAATGTTTTCACGTTATCGATAAAAAAAAGAAAAACCACTGGGGAAATTTTTGTCAGCTTCTTGATGAAATTTTGAACTTCTGATTTCTTCAAGTCTTATAAACTAGTCGATATTTATTAGGTTTTCAAGAATGTCATCATAAATATTTTGAAGAATTTTCCCACAAGATAAAAAAAGATTGTGTCACTAAAGGATATCGACTAACACACTTACAAGTGAAAAAAGCAGAAGAAAACATTTCAATACACCAAAAATGTTTTATAGCTGATAAAGTTATTACGTTGATATCTCAAACAATCAATCAATAAGTGAGCTTTTTCAGTAAGAAAATCATCGAGATCGAACAGAAATAAAAAAGTTTCTTTTTGCATCTGTTTTTGTCTTCGAGAAGTTCTTTTTTATATCTTCAGAACTGACAATGGAAAATTTATTGGAGAATTTGTGCGATTAAGAGATTGATCACCCCGACTTGGAATGGCATTTTTGTCAGTTCAAAGAACTGCTGTTGGCAGATAAAGAATTTATGATTCAAGGGATTGAGGCTTCAGTTTAACTGATTATTCTGAATCCTGCAATGCGTATTAACTTCTGGATTTCAGGTAATAATTTTTAATGATCAATTTTGCATTACTTCCAAAAACACAAACTATCATCCAAGAAATATTTATTTCCAACTGATAACGCATCTATTAATCTTGCAATATTCCTCCTTTACCTTAACAGTTCTTATTTATGTAGCATTAAATAAACGAAAGACAAGATATATGTTGAGAATGTTGTAGGCAAAAAGATTAGAAAAGGAAGAAGTTAAAAGAAATAAATTTAATGTAATGTTGAAATGTTGAAGATTGTCACGCTAGTTCAAGATAAAACTGAAAGTTTGCAAGCACAAATGAAATAGAGGAACAGAAAACAAACTTTTGATTTTTATCCAAAATGAAAAAAAAGGTGAAAAATATTAAAAGAAATTAAAATGATAAAGAGAGAAAGAAAGAATCTTTCATAAAGTTTATGGACTTCTGGGGATGATAACTCTTTGACATGTGATTGATAAGCATTGAATCTTAAAGCTTGTAATTGAAAATGCAAGTCTCTTGTGGTTTTAGACAAGCCACAAGCCATATAAAGTGTTTTGAATGATATTCAGCTAGATTCTTATTGAGTCAGTTGAAGATGAATAAGAGGAACTTTTTGAGTATAAAGACATAAATCTGTTTGAAGAACTACAGCATCGACTTACACTCCAAATGTTTAGATACCTTGTAAGTCTCTAAGTTATTACCTCTTACAAGAAGTCCATCAACTTAAGATTCACTTCGTTCGCTCGCCTTTATTACAATATACCAAAAAAAAAAAAATAATAATAAATTGAGATACACCCAAACCACACACATTATACACAAGAAAAAAAAATATATTGCATTGAATTGATTTGTTCGCTGTGTTATTGATAAAACTAAATGAATGAATATGTTAAGTATGAAACAAAAAAGTAGTTGAATAAAAATTAATAATAAACTGAAATTGAATAACTGTCTAAGATGAAAAAAAAAATATACTAAATAAATTAATGGAACCCGAAAAAAATAAGAAAAAATTATAACACAAAAATGAAGAAAAATTCAAATAAATTTTGAACCATTTTTTGTAATGGGATGAAAATTGAGTTTTATTGTTTTTAATAATAATTTTTCAGGACATTGTCACAAAAATAACAGCTCAGATTTGGATAATTATTGGTTCATTCTTCTGTTTCGCAGGCGCATCAATATCATATCACGGCTCAAATGGTAATCGTATGGATAATATCTGTAAATGTAATTACATGAATTAGAATATTAAGCAATAAAGCTGCCTTATCGTCATCTAAATTGTCATTGCTTCACATTGTTCTGTAAGCATTTTTGAGAAAATGAAATTTTAATTGGAAGTTCTTAATCTGAATTGATGGTTTAGAGCTGTTCTTTACAGACATCTAGGGGTGGCAACTTTGGTAAGTTTTGCAAGGATCTCAGTTATTTTTCAGTCAATTTCTATCTCCAGCCAGAAACACCAAAACAATAACTGTAAAGAAAATTACCTTCGTGGAATTGTATATTGGTTCGGTGGGTATCTCCCATATTCAGCATTCGATGTGCTCGGACCGGAACTCATATTACGATTAATGCCATAACCGTGATATTCTGCTCGTTTCCATTAATTTAAATTGAGACAGATAAGGCATACAGGAAAGAAGCATCAGCAACAGCAGACCGAGAAAAAAATTATTAAATTTGAATATTTAATTGACTTTTTATACGCAGATAAGCTGTGCATCCTCTTATGACAAATAAAATGTGTAGTCATTATGATGGTAAAGTGAGATTAACAACGAGGAATTTAGCTTTTAACTTACCACTAAGTTCTTCAAGTTTTGGAATTCTGTATGTTTTGAATCCATGTTCGCATGTATGCTTATTAGTGCATTGATAACATTTGTATGGTTTGTAATTAGCTGGATCAAAATCTGGATATCTAGACAATTCTGGATGATTTGATATCTCTTGATGATTAGACATCTCTGGAAGATTAGATATTTCTAGATGATTTGGAATCTCTAGATGATTCGGCATCTCTTGATGATTTGGCATGTCTGGAAAGCTTGACATCTCTAGATTTTTTTTTCACTTTTCAGAAATTTTAGAATGAACCTTCTTGAAAGAAAACTTTTTACAATAATGACAAAGACTGCTTAATGTTAAATGTTCATTACAATGATTTTAAATGTGAATTTCGAAGATGACTGAAATTCTTAAAGCAAATTAACACAAACCAGAGGATTTATTTCAGAATTTAGACTTTATTTTAGGAAGATTTAAAAGATATTGATACTTTTACAGTTAAATTATTGGTAAATATTGCTACAGAGACTCCCAGTCATTTACATCTCCACCTGCAAAAGAGAACAAACAAAATGTCATCCTGAAAATACAGCAAATCACAGATTGAAGCTTAGAAAGTATAAAAATAACTGATCTGATGGAACACGTGATCGTCAAAAACGTGTATGAAGTAAAAGTTCACTTTTGTGAGCAAATGAGGTGATTTAAAAAACATTTAAAAATTATTTTGCTGGTAGTCAATAATGCTGTCCAGTTTGATGATCTGCATGTCACACAACAAGTTATTTGATGAAAATTTAAAAATTTCAATTATTTACAAAAGTGGTTTACAATGCAAAAATGAGTAAAATTAAGCACAACGTGATGATAAATAAAGACAGAATGTGATGAATATGGACCAGTCGTGTAGCCAAATGAACCTTGCTTCCATAAAATTATGACTTCATTGCTGATGTTGGATAATTGTGACTTTATTTGATTTGAACATTGTCAAATAAGTTTGTGGCTGTGGAACTCAAGTTTTTAAGGTAATTTCAATACCCTGCTTTGCCTTAGACTTCAGAAAAGGAACATCAATTAGTAAATTTCATTCAAATTAATTAATTTTTATTTCAGTTCCAGTTTTCATCATTTTTCGTATAACTTTTTCCCGATATTTTCAGTCCAGATTTCTTCTTTACAAATTTTTAGAAAAAATATTTTTGACATGAATTTTAATTACAATTTCCTATCCTTAAATATTGCTACAATCATTTCAATTCTATTGGGTACTACAAGTTTCCTTAAATCTTGACATCATGGCAAGTTTTTCTTACTAATATTTCATAAATATTTGATTTTCAAATTTCACACGAAAGCACAAAAGGTTTGTTCTTGTTTAATATTTCTTGTAGATAAGTTCAAAAAGGACATAATAAAATTTGTTTTACTACGTATGGAGAGTAAATAGGCAGGATTACATAATGAATTAGTGATGAATAATAAGCAAAAATTTTAACACTCTGGGTCATTCCCAAAGAGTCACTGCGAAAAGGTTAGTAAAATATTTTGGATATAAGAAAAATTTATGAAAATTTTAATGGCTGACTTAAAAATTTATTCATTAATTATTGGATGGAACTTTTTGTTCCAATTTTGATTTTTAATAATTTTTGTGGAAGAAGTTAAAATCCAGAGCTGCCAAATGAAAGGCACATCTGGGACAATACACTGGTAAGAGCCAAAATAATTAGGAATCAACCTTTACTTTTCATAAATTGGAAGAGGAATGTGTCGAAAAGGATATTAAATAATTTTGATAACATTTATCATCTCAAGTCCCACTTTGCGGTTCATACTTTAAATTTTTTTGATCATTTTTTTCTTAAATTTTATCAAAAAGTGTAAACAAAAATATTAAAATTAAATCGGAAGTCAGACATGTTAACGAGGTTAATTGAGAATATTTATTCCAAGTTTTGAAGCAGCTCAACAGCTTTGCATCACTCGGGTACAACAACATTTGATACTATCAGTGCCAAAGCCTTGTGTCAGCATGAAAAATTTGCATTCGAATGTGACATTTTTAAGGCCATTTATCGACATTTGCATGCCTTATTTTCAGCATATAAAGATGTCTCAATGTCAATTAAATCCTCGTTAACATCTCCGATTTGAACACATAATTTGTGATGAGTAAAAAAAATATTTGCATAACTTGAAAATTGAGCAGTAAGGAACAGAATCAAACAGGTTTTTAAGAAATCTCCTTACGCTGGAATTTAATACCGTTAATCCAATCTTAAGAACCCGTTAAATTCGTTCCAGCATTAAGAAATTAAAAGAACCACTGTAACATAAAGACAGGAAGTATGAATCAAAAGGCTTAATCATATTTACACACTTAAAAAAATATTTTTCATAAACTTTGGTTTGCTTTTTGTGCACAAAAACTTGCAAATATCAATTATGTCTTAAGCATAAGGTCACCAATTTCCCTGTAATTACTATATCTCATCTCATCCTAATTTTATCTTTAAAATAAATGAAATTTTTTTATCATAAAGTTTATATGTATCTAGTGACTTATTGCTTAACCTTGACCCTCGATAGTTTTTCCATTAGAATTTACAGTATTCAGAGGAATTTCCTCAAATGGACTCACAGTATCCTCTGGAGCTCGTCGATTATTATTTGCCTTCTTACTTCTACACATTTTTGTCTTTAATCCACACACATCTGCTCGACATACTAAACCAATTAGAATGCCTGATAAAGTTATAGCAAGAATAGCTGCAAAGTAAAGTTCATTGTAAAGATAAATTGTTCTGCATACTTTTGCTTCGTTTACAACCTGTTCTGACATCAATGCTAGCAGTTATTACAAAAGAAAGAACTAACCCGAGCAGCACAATGTAAGCTTAAGCTGTTAAATATGACATTCCTTTTACAACTGTCATGCAGCACGGAATGATTCTCGTGTGTCACTCGGATAAATAGCCATGAATGAAAAGTGAACGACTAATTAATATTGTCAATATTGAGGCACGTACTACTCTTTTAAAACAACAAACAGCATAATGAACGCGTAAGCACTTTCTGTTATTGTTCATCCAAAAGAAACGGAATGGTCAGAAATATCGCGTGATGTCAAAAGTAGGCGTATAAACTTGAAGCAGTTGAGAAACTTGGTAGTCAGCATAAAAATTACTCACCTATTAAAATGTATTTTAAAGTTTGATTATCAATGTCTACGGAATGATCGACAGTTTCTGTTGTAGCTATTATATCAGGCTGTTGATTTCCTTGGTCATTTGTGAGAATATTCTCAGAAGCAATTTTAGCCACGCTTAATGTTGTTGATGATGTTGAAGTCATAATCGACGATGCTAATGGTGATTTTGTGGTTCTAGTTGTTCTTTCTATTGTCAATGGTTGCTCAATTGGTGGATCGTTGCCCACAATTGCATCCTCAAAATTATCTTCAGCTGAATAGATGAAGCAACTAAAATTAAATCCTTCAAAATTAACAGTATCAATTCCTGTCAATTTCCCACACAATTCAGATATTGATGAACGTGAAATATTCATCATTTCGAGCTTAGTAAGAACTGTAAGGTCCTCAAATGCACTTGAATCAAAATTCTCATCAAAGTTATTTCCACTAAGTGTAAGATTTACTAGTTGCTTAATGCCTGAAAAAGCCTCATCAGGTATTTCACTTAGTCCGCAATCATCTAAATTTAAAGTTGTCAAGTAAGAATTGTTGATAAATCCTTTCTGAAGAATTAATGGATTTTTAGACAAATCCAGTCGTTCAAGGTTTGTAAGGTTGACAAAAGTGTCTGAATCAAAGTCACTTATATCATTGTTCCTAAGTATAAGTGATGTAATATTGACTAAATATTTGAATATCTCTTGGCTTATTTTTGTAATTCCATTATTCGAAAGATCCAGCTCGAGTAAATTACCGCAGCATGTTGTAAAGGAAGATTCATCAAGGTGTAGCTGATTATTGCTGAGGTCTAATGTTAATATTGTGTTTGGTATATCATTTGGTATAGCTTTAAGTGTTAGATTTGAGCAATCTAACGATGTGCTTGTTAATGCTTTACAGTTCGAATATGTCGGCACAGGAACTAATAAAATGCACACAAAAAAAAATTATTAAGTAAATTTACATTTACACATTTTTAATATTTACAGTTCATACCATTCTCCTCTATTACATTATGTATCGTTGCGGACTCTACCCATTGGACATAGACTAAAACTAAAATTATCACATATCGAACTGCCTCTGGCACGTACATTTTTTCAAATGATCCAACTTAGAACTTTATTCCTATTAATTTTTTCTATTTGATTGCTTCCAATAGTTCTCTCTTTTCACCTGAATGCCGTTGTCATTCAATCATCTATTTTTCTGGCTGTCACTCGTTCTAAAAAAAATGAGAGTGAGGTCAAAATCAGAGATATAGTTCAATTATTCAGTTTATTGCAGAGAATGAAGTTGATTGGAATTTATTTCACATGTGAATTCATTCAATCCAACTAGAAATCATATAAACATCATTAAAGATAATCAAATGCATCCATAATCATGCAATTTACACTTATCAAATCCAATGAGCATTAGTTACAGATTTTAATAATATTAAGGGCGATATATCTAATCAAAATTTATCAGTGCTGCACATTACTTTCTTACTTTACATAATAAAACAATTGAATTATTTAAATGAGCACAAGTTAAGTGTCAGGGACTTTAATGATCTGTCAAGTAAGCGACATTGAACTTGAGTGTTGAGAAAATCAATAAAAAACATGTAGTAGATAGAATTACTCAGACGCGCACAATGATTTATCGCTGATTCATAATTTCTGACTATGTTAATTACTTATCGCACATGCAACATGACGCAACAATAGTTTAAAGTAACACGATTAACATTTTTTGATAAACTTCATTCATAAACATTTTTTTGGCTTATGAAAAGACCGAAGGTCACTAGTCACGACATTTTCCTATCATTATTTGATGAACTAAATGCATACATCATAATCAATCAATACACATTAATAATTTATGTCCATTGAACTGTACTCACCGCTTTCATCACTTATAGGCTTGAATGAATTAAATTATATTCGAAAAATTAGCTTGAAAATTGAATTAATTGATGGCTCTTAATTAAATTAGACACATTAATTACTGTCCAACAGTCAATTCTGTATCCTATGTCTGCATTCTTTTAAAGTACGTATGATAAATGAAAGAAACTCTTTTAATTCTGAACGAAAATGAAAATAATTAAAGAAACTAGTTCCGATATTTATTTTTCAAAAGTAAACTGGCTGCATAGGTAGGAAGAAGCAGTGTTTACATTCACACTGGGGATCATTACTTCCACTTGAATGAATTTTTAAATTTTATGATTGAATTGCAATTAGATTTGTACAATCACTGAACTAGTTTTCAGATTTGTAGCTTGTTTAATTGTAAATTCTGGATTCTTCCAGTCAATTCCTTTAAAATGCATAACATGCTGCATGTCACATGGTGTGAATACCAATTTGCAGATGTAACGGCAACGAAATATTCAAAAACATTAAGAGGTGCTGAATGATAAAATTGAAAACTAGGAACATCGAAATAGTTGGAAATTTTATGTGCTGCCTGTGCCTTAAATTGATGTTAATTTTCCAACTTCTGAATTAAGGCATCTATAATTGTCGAAAAAGAACCAGTTTACAGTTTATGAAGCTTCAAAAATTGTTGATTTAACAAAGTAAACAAAAGGCAAGGCTTTAGAAATAAAAGTCTTGTGACATTCAATTCTGTAGCCACTTTTTTTTCTCAATAAAAAAAAATCACTGAAACCTCCTCTTTCTTACTATTTTTTTTGTGGGTAAAAGATGAGAACGAAGAACTTTATATTTTTGTTATTAGTAGTCGTTCTACTGAGCCTTCTTCTAATCATACTTGGTCCAAGCAATAATGAGAACATAGCAAATATCCAGAATTTAGCAAACAAGCACTTTTCCAAGTTTAAGGTGAGTCAAAAATGGAAAAAAAGAGAAAATTTTTCTTTCCTTTATAAAAAATAATTGGGCTTGCACAACCAAGAAAGAGCAGCTAATATGCCAAAAATATTCTATTTTAGGAAAATCTGCGAGTCGAAAAAGAAAAGGAATTGGATATAGATCCTAAATATCTACAGCTTCTTGGATTTGATACCACAACAACTCAGTCATATAATGTAAGCAGAGGGAATTTCTCAATCGTTAGTTATGTGCTTCAGAATGAAGTATCGTCGTTAATTCTTCAACTCCAGAACCTCGCAAGTATCTTGCCAACAGAAAATTTCTTAATATACGATCTAGGATTATCGGAAAGTGATGTTCAAATTCTTTCTACATTTTGTAATACAAGCACACTAAAATGTTCAATTCAGAAGCAGGATTTTAGTCAATATCCCTCATATATTATGCAAGATGATAAATTACATTTATTCCGTCCCATACTCATTAAAAATGCATTATTAAGATTTCGTACGATATTATTTATAACAAATAACGTGAGATTTAAATGCTCCAGTAAAATTCTAAATGATATTCGTCGACGAACGGAAGAACAAAATCATGTAACAAGCCTTGAAATCCGGAAGCTGCCATTAACTTCAAATACACATCCAAGAATGTTCAATTATTTCGACTCAGATGCTGACGCATTCTTATTTGTAAGACAAGTCAAATTAGATGCTGTCTTCTTTCACTACAGTCGATTCCTTGATGATAAGATCCTCCTGCCATGGTTGAAATGTGTTCTTACACCACAATGTATCCAACCAATTGGAGCTAATGCAAATGCTAATCACTGTAAATTCAATAAGAAGCCACAATACAGATATTCTGGATGTCATGGATATGATGAATCAGCATTTAATGTTATATGTAGCATAACATTTAATTTTAATGAGGCAAAATATTCCGTGACTGATGTCGATGGACCTTTGTTCTATAAACAGTCACTAGAAGATTCCATTCGAATACTTGATAATCGAAAGAGGAATATCAGCGAGACAAGTGAGCATCCTTATAATAGTGAGGAGTAACGGACATCCAAACAATTTTTTCTCAAACAAATTAAAGATTTTTTTTGATAACTGAAGTTATCATTAAAAATAAGATAATCCAAAATGGCTGTTGATTAATTTATAGAGCATAATAATCTCATTGGATGTAAGTAGAATAAGTGAACTGTGAGAATGATGAAGAAAAAAGAAGATAATGGATGAAATTGACAGACACGCGCGCAAGTTGTGAGATAATTTCCATAGTCAAAAATTACAGCAACAATTTGTTGTCATTAATGGATATGAAACATTTCGAGTCAGTTTTATAGGTGAATAAGGTCATTACTAATTAATGAGTGAGTTCTATCTACTACTTATTACACAATCACACACACAACAATAAATTTATAGGTCGAATCTTTTCGCACTGGTATAACCGAATGTTCTCAAGCATGCATGCATGCATCAGCAAAATGCTATACTAACAATGTTCCTAGCTATCATTTAATTTGTCTATCTAGTAATATTGGGTTTTTTTGCTTATGATGTTTATTGAAATTGTGAGCCTAGATGCACTTCTAATGTCTTAAAAACAAGCTACATTCAGGCTTTCTAATACTCAATAAAAATACTAAAATTGATGGACATCATTTACGACAAAACCTCAAAAAAAAGAGAACTTTAGGACAAAAAAAAATATTCTCATGAACAGAAACAAAATAGAAATTATGCTGGAATAGGTCGAAACACGCAATCCACAAATGAATAGCTGAAATCACTCAATTCGAGCCTTAATTTTTTTTATACATAATCAAACCAAATCACGTGGACAGTCCAGCAAATGAACAATTTACAGAAAAAAGAACAATTTTCTAGTGTAAAAATATTTCCTACTAAAAGTTATCGATAAATCAATCTCTATACAAAATAATAATAATATTCAAAAAAAGTGGAATTATTCGTACTTACCGTAAAACATACTAATAGCACAAGCAAACATCACACAACCAGATAAATAATATTTCAATTGACTACACTTCTGTAAAACAAAAAAAAATGATAAAAGACTTTCGATTCAATTTATTTCTATAATTATTAATAATTTATGTGTATAAAATTTGTCTAGCTTTATTTTATTGGGAAGTTGAGGACATAGTTCTCAAAAAAATAATGTGATTGAGATCAGATGATGTCCTCAAGTTTATTTTCAATTACCGCATTTTTTTGACATCACTGGATTTTTTTGAACATTAAATGCTTATTTGTGTATTAAAACCATCCAAATTCCTTAATTTGTGTATTAAAACCATTCAAATTCCTTCATTTGTGCTTCAAAATCATACAAATTCAAATAATCTCAGCTTAAAAATCTTATAAATTCCATTCCAAGTAGAAAACTTCCAAAACCATATAAAAGCTTTATTAGTCAAACATTTGTATGGTTTTTATTAATTTGAAAGCAGGAGAGACCCAAAAATTGAAATTTTAAGATTGAAAAAAATCTCAATCAGCTAGAAAATTTGCAATGTAAGGTCAATTAATATTCAAATAATCTTAAATATCACTTTATTCCCACAAATAATTAAATTCTCATCTTTTGATTGTTTATATTAAAATTATTAAATGTACATAAGGCAAAGCAAAAAAATTGAAAAAGATGCTGTTTTAGAGCATGGCTGCTTTTTATTAAAATTTTTGTCAACTCCCTATTTTCCATTACTGAGACAAAATAAAGTGAAATTAAGCAAAAAAATTAAAATTTTAAGTTTTTTCAATCAATATTATATTTTTTGTAGGTTCCTTATTTTCCAAAAAATTATTACTAGATTGCTGATTAATTTGCAGGATTCACACGGGAATAATTTTATAAAAAGTATGAAAAATATAAGGAATTAATGAGGATACAAACTTCGTGTTTCACATTATTGCAGTGCATGTTGATGCACACGAGAATTCTAGGAGCGTCCATCAAGATAGCAATCACAGACATAGAAAAATGACACCAGAAAGTAATGACAAATTAGCATAATTTTCCATAAAACATAAAAATTTTCTCTCATTCAACATTAATGCCATAAACAGCTCGATTAATTGGCTCATGCATTAGCTTCTGTTGTTATCACTATGACTCATATCTACACAAATTCACAGCATGTGCTTAAGGAAAATATTTCCATAAAGTAAATGCGCTTATCGTGAGAAAATTAATTGTATGCATTCATCGTAAACGCTTCCATTGTAAACAAAAAGCTATTTATCCTTCCTCAATGTAAACATATTACAAAAACTCTTAAAGGAGTTGATGGATGTGAACAAGGAAGATGCAAACAACATTTTTTCTAATTTTCTGATGTGTAGAGAAAGTTTACTGAAAATACAAAAGTTTGTTGGAAGTAATTTGAAATTATTGAGAATTTAGGAACGCATTTTGTAAAAGAAATCAAGCGCTGTGCTGCATACCATATATTTATAACATTTAGCATTATTTGCAAATAATAAATTCAGACTTGTGTTATCATCAAAAATCGAAGTTTAGTCCTAGTCAGAATTCCATTCTCAGAAGTTTAACTTTGTCATTTAAATCTCAATCAATAGCATCTTGGTACCTCAACATCGTTTCAAGCCAAGAGGATGAATGCAAAAATCAGATTTAATTGCAGCTCTAAGACAAACCAATCCATATCTACTCCTTTTTCATCTAAAAATCATCATAAAACTTTATTTTAAGTCAAGGAGCAATCAGTGGAAATGAATCGTGTTTGTGAGGGAGATTAGTTGAGAACACATGCATTATTTACAGTAAACGAGTGTCTGAAAAACTTTTCATTTCTACTTCTTCTCATACTTCTGATTCCACAACACATAAAAGCATTGCTCAAACGTGTTGTTTATGTTGCTCAAGCTGCATTTGATGTTTTATAATGAATGTCGCACAACATCCAATGTTTCAATTCAATGTTGACTTACAGAATCAACAATTTATTTAAAATGTATCTTTTCTTCATGATTTTGATCCCACAATAATCTTTACAGCATTCATTGAGCTTCACAGTAAAGCTTTTCATTAATTCGAATAAAGAAGAAGCAAAATCAACAAGACGATCGATATTTTAAGTCTCAAAGCTTTTATTTCCTTTATCTTATTGCTATTGAATGGCTTCTTCTTATTTTGTTTGTAAGACGAATACAAATGTTTTTGAATCATCTCCTAAAGTATCGTTGAAGAAGAAATTGAAAATCTGTTCTCTAAACGCTCCTCTCTGTTCATGATTGATGAATCAAAGTGCGAAATTATCTTCATTCTTGTCGGAGTGTTCCTTAAAAAAAAACATTCTCTCTATCTCTTGTTTAAAATGATTGATAATGTTCAAAATGCCAGAAGCTAAATAATTCATAATGTTGATTCTTTTACGTTATTTCAACAATTTTAAACACCAAAATACTCATTTTTTATCTCTTGGGCGATTACAAATTTTCTCGCTTCTTGCTTTCTTTTCTTTTTGTTCCTTTCTTTTGTATCTTTTCGACTTCCATGCTCTATCGACGCACTGTTTCATTTAGATGCTATCTGAATGACTTTCTTTGTCTGTTTAGTGTCCTTAGGGACTTAAGGTTTATTGGAATGGAACCTAACATTTATATTTGTATGTTTTCTCATTTGGATCTTTTGTCTAATCCAGAACCTCCTGTTATGTCAAAATGACCATTTTAGACTAAGCTTTCATGGTTTTAGGCTTGCAAAAATCACTTTTCCTATAAAAAAAAGTCACAAAACCTTTAATGACATCCCATGGAAGTTCCCCATACACAACAATTTGTTACATTTTTCTTATTTCTAGATTCTAAACATGTACAAGATGGATAACATGAAGAAGATTGATAAGAATTGCGATGTTGAAACTTTTTTTTCCTTTCTTCTTTTTCCTTTTTTTGATAAAGTTCGGAGGCAATTAAATTAATTTAATTTCATCTCCTCAAACTGAGAAGGAGAACAAAGAAGGAAAGAAAAACCAACAGCTACCCAAAGAAAAATAGAGAGAACATGAAGAAGGATTCAAGTGTTGCATAATTAAATGCTGTCGAGTATCCCGCATCATATTTTCTTTGTGTCTTTAAACAACCTACATTTTGTCTCGATGGCACAAATTCCTCCTTTATGTTCTGTTTGTTTTTCCTTAAATTCTTCTCGTTGTTATATGATGCGAAGGGATTGGAAGGGAAATGAGAAGAAAATGGTTTATTCTAAGGAATTAGAACGCATTCGATCTTGTTCTTTTTTAAGGATACTCTCTTGGAAGTTGCTGGTGCTTCCAGCAAAAGTTCACAAGCTACAGGCTGACAAGAATCATTCTAGAACTTCATTCTTTAAGTTTTCATTCAAATGAACATAAAAAAATTAAATTAAAAAAACAATTCATACAGCCCCAGACATTAATGTAGATTGTAGCTTATTACCAATTCAAGGTTCCAAGAAAACAAGTATGAATAAATCAAAGAACATCTCTCCATGAAAAAGATGCTCAAAAGTTGAACACCCGTATAAATTTGCCTTCAAGAAAGGTGCTTCCTTTACCTGTGCTTTTACAAACAGTTTCACAAAAAAATGAAAATTATTCATTATGTGTACAGAAGGTTAATTATCAATGTAGATAAATTTAATGACATTGCAATGAATAAAACGAAGCAATTATGGTAGATTTATATAAATTTTAAAATTTCCATCAGCATAATTAACTATGTTGTTAATTAGTTTATGCTCAAAATGATAAAATAATACAAACAGGAATGCCATCACATAAAAGAATGATAAATGAAAGCTTTGTTCCCATGGACATAATTGGCAATAAATTTTCTGCATCCAATTTTCGCGATGAGACAGGTGCGGTTGATTTTAATTCCTTTTTTTATGAAGTTCTGTCCAAAAAAATTATTACATGCAGAGATTATTTATGCTTCATTAAAATGTGTCCTGAAATTTTTGTTTTTAAAAGGACTACAAATAAGCTGAAAATTGGAAGTTAATTTGATTTTATGTGGAAAATCTTGTTGATTGAGGTTTTGGAAATTAATTGAGACTATCCAGCACTTTGATGTGAAAATTTGTATCATTTTATTGCCATTTTAAAGTACAATGCCGAACTTTTTACACGTGATTTATGAATCTCTGATTGGAATTCCTGAAAATTCATGAATCCAGTCAAGGAATGTTGAAATTCTTGCAGCTGAATGGAAGCTCAAAGTTCCTAATGTGCGACGTCCTGCATGAACTCCAACTTGTGTCATATGATCTCCTTCTCTTACAATAACTACAAGAATAAATAAAATATATTAAAATCAATTCCTTTCAAAATCCAGAGCTGATCTTACCAGGTGCACCTGAATCGCCTGGTCGAACTAGTGCATTTGTGCCATCTTCAACATAACAAATTTCATATTCTGTAAAACGATCGCCACAGACTCTTATAGACACGACAGCAAAGTTTGCAAATTGAAGATGAACTGCAGTTGATCCTGTATTATCTACTCCCCATCCAATTGTAGTTACTGGCCAACCAACAAATTCATAATTAGTTTGTACGCGAGAAGGAATTCGAATGAAATCAATTAAGGCTGTACGAACTATTGGTTGAGCAAATCGAAACATTGCAATGTCCATAACTAAAGTTTGAGGATGTTCAAGGAACCAAAATTCTGCAGAATTTACAGTAGTTCCTGGGACATTTCTATTGACAGTTCCAATTAAAAATGCGACATTTGTAACCCAAGTTGGATTTGGATTTATACAGTGACTTGCAGTTAAAGCAAATTGTTCATGAATCAATGATCCTGTACAAAGTGTACCAGAAGTCGATCCTGTATTTGGATCTCTACGAGTTATTGACAGTCGAGCAACAAATGGAAATTGACCTGGTGAAGCGTCACTTCCATTAATAATTCTTGCATCTCCATAAAAGTCGTAAATTGTATCGCTTGATGGACCTTCTAAAGTATAATGATGAACTTCATATTCCTTAAAATTTCCAATAATTTCAGCAGTTGCTGTTGCAACAAGGAGAAAAAAAATTATTCCTTTCATTGTGAACTTCTTGAAGCTTGAACAGAAACTAAAATGAATGAAAATACGCAGAATATTTTATGCTATATTTAGGTTTAAAATTCTTTTATCGAGTAAATATTTTGATAAGATACACATTCACCTAAGAGCACTTAACCCCAAATAATCCTTTTAAATAAAAACACACGTTAATATCAGCATTTCAACACTTTTACTGATTGTTACTGATTCAATCAGTCAATAAACATTGTTTTAAAATTGATTAAGGTTATATAAAATTCAGTCAATATGTGGAAGTCAATTATGATCAGTAATTATACGTCCACGATTCTTGAAAGACTAGATTATTTCGGCCTTTCAGTAATGTAGATAAAACTTCATGACGGGTGGTGAGGAAGAAGGGGGGTAGATTGTTAAATTATTAAAAGTGAACTTGGTTTTCACAAGTAAAAAATTCGTCCAAGTCACGAATTATTTAAGAGTTCTCAGCTTCCAATACGTTATCATATCTAAAACCGAAAATAAACATGAAAATTCATTAATCTGTCACATATCCAATAACCAAAACCTATAAAAAAATTAATTCTTTTTAGTAGCAACAAATCGTCTTTTAATGCAACATTGATACTCTTACGCAACTCTATTGTCATAGTTATAGCTATACTGACAATGATATTTCAACTTCTTTCAATTTATGGTTAAATTTAAGCAAGCCCAAAATTACACTTATGTCCCCCTCCCACAACTTTTATGTCTCATTTTCAATATCAAATTATTTTTTCATCTTTATGGATTTTATCGTCATAAAAACATACAACTTTATAACATTGAGTAGGATAATGCTCTGAAACTAGTTTCGTTACCAATAAAAAAAATCACAAGCAACTCTATAATCCGATATTTTTATTACGTACTCGAATAGTAAAGTATAAAAGTGAATAAAAAGAAAACAAAGCGATATAATGCCCGGAAAATAATCAGATTGTCAAAAAAATAACATATTTCTTTACGACATCCCATAACGTGTTACATTCTGTGCGAAAAAAAAGTGAAAAGGTTTTTATAACTAAATTTTTTAAGACTCTCTTGAGAAGATTATGTCGTAAAGTAAATATGAGAAACAATTTTTGCTTTCCCTCCTTGTCTTTATATGTTATTAGCTATGTATGACGATGTCGAGTGAAATTCATAGGAAAGTGATACAAGATTTTCAATATCTACTTGAGAGTAAAAGTAGTAGGTGATGTTATCTGATGATTTTGTCTAGAACGCTTATGATGTTGATGTTCTAGATGCATTAAACAATTTTGATGGTGACAATGAAGTTTTTAACATTTCCAAGGGGTTCAAGGGTGTGAAAATCTTCAGAGAAAACTTCATACTCTGCGTAGTGTTACTTTTGAAGCTTCTAGAATCCATCTGCAAGGTTATGCCACTAAAGCCAAGCTATACTCTATAACTAGCTTTAAAGTGCCAACTTTTAATCCAAAATGTAAGTTTGTACAAAAACTATCGAGTGACAGCACATAAAAAGCCAACCAAACTGACAAAATGCAAAACATTACAAAGGTGTCATTTCAAAAAAACAAAATTTAAAGTAGCAATTTTTTTATTCATCTATTCGGATACATTTATAGTGAATCGACGAAATCTGTTAAGCTATTTGTGTAAAGGGTTTTTTCCTCGCTTCTGTTTCTGTTGTTTCAATTATCATAAAGTCATTCAGCTATGGATTGGATATGAAAATCATCGCATATTGAAAATGGAAATCCAATTTTCTCAGCGATAAACACGTTTTATATTATGGCTCATTTCTTACTTAGTATCGGAACTCGGTTGCGTTTAAATGGCGTGAAGTAATTTTAAGCTGACGATGAGGTTTAATGGTAAATTGGAAATGAAAATAAGGAAAGCAAATTTTTCAATTAACTTTATTTTTTTATGAAATTGATATTTTTTTTGCAGAGTCTTAATTTTTTTCACAGCAATCAACATCCAGCAGTGGTTTTATGCTAAATTTCCTTTTAAATGTTTTTAAAGTTCTTGAATTTCAAAGCTACAATGATAATCCTTATGTACATATCTTGCATGACAGCATCTTGCTGTTATGCTTATCATGTTGTTTAAAAATCCTTGAAAATTTCCACAAAACAGCTCATTTCAAGCATATCAATTCACACCAACACTGCTATCAAACCGAGAAAATTTCTTCTTAAACCGCATTAAAGAATACAGCAACATAGAATCCACAATAGCAAGATTTTCATAAATGTTCGTACGTACGATAAGCACGAATCCTTATGTCATTGCCAATTCTTTTCTGTATATCAAATTTAGCCAGTGAAAATAATACCCAAAGGCATTTCAAGTCTATAACATAAAAACAACCTATTTCTTTCATTCATTTTAAGAAGCTAGAGAAATGCTTCAAGATGTGGAAGAAATGAAAATAAAATGTTGATGCTTGAAATAGCAACTAGCAGAAGGGGATTTAGGTGGGAATTTTGTCAGATTTGATTCCTTTTTGTTGTAAAATTAAGTTTTTTGATTTTAATTTTTACAAAAAGAATTTTAAAGAATTTGGTTTAAAGTAAATAACTAGTTCCGAGTGTCCTGATGACACCGTGACACTGTTTTAATAATCGCTTGCTGCTTGGAAGTCCTATCAACATTAGGATGTATACGATGTCTCCTAAACTCTCAGGATATAACTACTGAACAGATAATATGTAACATTCCCAAATAACACAAGTCGGTTAAACGATCAGAAATCCGGCACCAAGCTAGTTTGAATCTGGCATGGTTCTGGAAATTAATCAAAGCCAGAGTCATGCTGACTAGGCGCAAGATTTTTATTTGATTAACCGACTTTTGCCATTCGGGATTAAGCTCCTAGTCTTACGTACTTTTATCATATTAAATCATAATTCCACCCAAAATCATCTCAAAGACATCCAAAAAAAATGTGAATAAATAAATAACACAACGATATTCTAACCATTTTCATCATCTTCAAGAAAAAAAAGGCAAAAAAAATATGCCAACAACAAGTCACAACAACAAGAAGAAGAAAGGGATCCATTTGAAGGAGAAGCAAAAGATGCCACGAGGGAATACTTTTTAGTAAATAATTTTTATTTTTCATGTGATATCACGAGAGATGCCTTTACTTTACATTTACATGCATGTATATGGAGGAAATGGAGGGAAAATAAGAAATGCCACGAGAGATATTCAATGTTGATGTCAGGAAGTATAAATACATAAGCCAATAAGAATGAGAAGAAGAATGGCAAAAAGAAGATAATAATAAGAATGAACATTATTGAAATTTCTTTCAGTTGTGGACGACCTCACATATTTCCCATTTCAATAATATGCGTTATTGGCTTTCGGCATTACGTACGCATTGTTGGTGCTGTATGTCTCTCACTCAATGTTCATGTTTATATGAAAAATAACAGGAAACAATTACGCCCTATATGAGTTTATTTTTCCTGCATAATATTAGGCTTACGTGATTGTGTGATTTATATGAATTTATTTGCATATAAATTGAATATTTTGGACGACAAAGTAAATGAAGTGGATGTGAATCGGAAAATGCTTTTTAGATTAGAAAAATTGATTGTCATCATCATCATGGCTTACCATTGTTTGAGGGACAGATAATATTGGTTGAATCTAAGACTAAATTGCATGTATCAATGTAAAATTGACAACATTATTGCTTAGTTCCTGAAATTTCATGTTTCATTTACGTTCTATAGGAGTTTAGTTGATAGATGTAGATGGGAATGAATGTGAGGGTTTTGAACTTTGAAGGTTTCGATTTTTCAAGAGATTTTCTGGATCTATGTGAAAATGAAAGTTTATTGATTTTGCAAATTGAGGATTTTACTTGATCGATTATCAGGATATTCAATTGGAAGTCAGGAACATAGGAGAAGGTAAACATTGATTTCAAAATCTTGTAATCTCGTTACTCAAATAAAAGCTAGTCTCATTATCTTCATCAATGATGATTAAACTCATTAAAAGATAATTAAAGTCTCATCAGCAAATAAATTTCAACAAAGTATCTTTAATCCATCCTTTTCAGCATTTTGTATTACAAATAATTGAACATATTCTTATACAGCATACATCTCAAAAAATTACTCGACAAATTTCATCTGCAAACACATTGTCTCATCATTCCACGAATAAAAAATGGATTAACGATGTAAAGTCATGATGTGAAAGATTAATTCACATAGCGACATTTTGTGCTCATCCTCATTCATACATTGTTTGTTTTAAGCATCATACCTTACAGCACTTTTGTGCTCTTACATGCGTCTTTTGTGTTTCAATTAAAATTTACTTTTAAAAGACATTATCATGATGAGAATGACTGGAGTTGTAAGAAAGATTAAAAACAGGAAATCGCGCAGATAATTTTAATGAGATTTTGTTTTTGTCTTAAGACTTCAAACTTCTTTGTGCTTACATGTGAAATTACTTCCTTATTTGTATGTAGTTGATATGCTGCACATGAGACTAAGTTGATTAAATCTTTTGATGTTAAATTGAAATTTGCATGAGGAAATTAGTTTTTCTTGTTCCTGGAAATTTGTCATATTGTTTTAACAATGTGTGCATCAACATGGCGAAAATCTAGGAAGCAGTTTGATGCTTTTAACAATGTATAGTTCTAAGATTGAAATCTTAAGCGCCATTGACGTTTAAAATAAAAATATTAACTTCCTTTCCAATTGAATGAATTTGTTTCAATAAAGCAATGAAAGTCGTGATTCACCTTGTTATAGACATTAACTTTTACCTTACATCCCTTCCTCGTAACACGTACATTTCATTTAACATTTGCAATACACAACATGCATGAATAAGAAATAAATACGAATGTAATCTCATGAGAAGTGAAACATATGGATTACATATTTGTTAGATTCAAAAGTCAAACAGTATAGCACAATTTATTATATCTAGGATTTTTGCTATTACGTTCCTTTCTTCGTTGTTTTTCCTCTGTGTTGTCACAAAAGACTTTGTTGGCTGGAATATCGTTTCTTTCCTATTTTTTTATGTGGGATTTATTAAATACTTTTCCATTCAGCAACAGGATGACGAAAAAATGTAATAAATAGGATTCAAGCCAAAATTCACATCTGTTGGGTTTTCTGGTTGAATGAATTAAAGAATTGCTAAAAGTTGTGAAAATCATCATTTCTTTTAAGTTAACTTTTATTCAATGGATTAATACAGATTAATGTATAACTTCTTGTCATATAAAATATGTGCGTTCTTGTTAATATTAAGTACATAAAATTGATATTCATTTTAATTCAGGAAGACTCAAACTTCAATAATTTGTAACTTTTCAAATTATTCAATAAAGTTTTCTTACTGGCTAACACCAGATTGTTGCTTCTTGATATTCAGCACACACGTACTCACAATTTCAATAATGTTTGTGACATTCTTCGCTAGCTGCATAGCATCACCTGACGCTTCAACACAAGCATTAACTTTTTCAAAAAAAGATCTTTGACCAGCTGCTTGAGGAACTTCAGAGGCTTGAGGAACTTCAGAATTATAAGCTCCCGCAGTTGGCAATGTAGTTTCAGATTTATTGTTGGATCCAGTTAATCCCAATCCAGCAGAACTGGCAGTGACTGCAGTACCAACTGTTATTGCTGCACCTGCCAATTCTGCTGATTCTAAAGCTAAGGCTACAGCTCCGCCAGTAACAACGATAGACAATCCTAAAATTCCAAGCATTATCCATCTGAATTTCTCTTCCCTTTGAACCTTTTCTTTAAATTCCTGTAATTTTCGACATTTTCTGTTTAAACGAGTTTCCAAAAGAGCTTTTTGACTTTTGTAGTCATTCAATTCAATTAGGTTTTCCTGTCTTGCGTTTTCCAATTCAATCAGTTGCCTTTCTATTTGTCCTTTTGTATATTCAGCTTGTTCCCTTAGTTGTCTTTCGATTGTGAATAATTTTTCAAATTTTATTCGTTCTTCTTTAATTTTTAGGATGCTCTTTTCCGTTTGATCCTTAAAAGTTACAAAGAACTTTTCAATTTCGTCTTCCAATTTTGATCTGAATGTTTTTGCATGTCCTGAATTTCCCATTTTTTTCGTATCATCGTACATTGCTAATGCTCTTTCTTTACATTTTTCATGAATGACGGAAAGCCTTTCTTCAGTTATGATGTCTTCATTACGATAAATTGTCAATTTGTAGTCATCAAGACATTTATTAATCAAATTATGCATGAAACTCTCAACTGTCAATTCATATATGCTGGATGCTCTCGGAATCTGATTTGTTTGAAATAGTTTCAAATAATCAAGGATGAATTGCTTCATTTCCTTAACACTTAACTGATTTGAATTCATTTTCTTGATTATTAAAGTATCAGGAAGTAAAAGAGACTCAATGACACTTTGAAGCTCCGTCTTGAACTCATTATCCATCTCTGACCATTGACCGTCATAGCTTTTACTTCCAGCAACGATCTTTCCAGGAAATGGCAACAAACAACAATCGATTTGATCAAAAGAACTCGCAATGTAGTCACGAACTGATTTCAATTCAGGTTTCTGAGTTGAAATCGAATTTATTACTTTTTTGAGATATTCTTCGCCACCGGCAGTTCCATACTTAAAATCATCGAAATAATGCCAATCGCGGATGAGAAACATCAAGTTTTGAAAGGTTTTATCATTTGCATCATTGTTATCCATAGCAACAAATTGAGTGAGCTCTGTAGCAAATTGCAAATACTGTAGATGATCTTCTTGGATTTTGTGGGCAAGGTTTAAAACCTGGATTGATGATATTAAATTGCTGAGCACAAAGATTCTTGAATTATCAGTTGGCGATGATTGTTTGTCAAAAAGACCTTGAGTGTCCATAACAAAAATTGCAATCTCTTCTTCCGTTTCCTCAATTGTGTGTAGGAAGACATCACTCCAGAATAATATCCCAGATGTGTCTCGTTTTGTTCCTGGACGCCATGAGAATCCTTTCAGTGGTTCATTGCTACTTCCCATCCACTTGTTATCTTTTATGAACAAAAATTCGCCGTCAATTATTTTCGGATCATTTATTGATGGATACTGTTATTAAGAAGGTGAATTGGATGAAATGCTGTAAATATTTTAGATAATAAAACTTACATGAGCATATAAGAACCTCAAAGAATAGTCCAGAAAATAACTTTTGCCTCCTCTTGAAGCTCCAACTATTGAAAGAATCACAATTTTACGGTCTTGAATTTTTGGGTGACTGAAGATTTTTCCAAGTTCTTCATTATCAACAATAACTTCGCCAGTGTCAGAAAACTTCATGACAGTTATTGGCTTCCCATAAGAATGATTGTGAGACATTGTTTAAGAATTTTTATTTGTAATTTAGAATTAACTTCGCTTTTGTTTTGAACAAATGTTATCCAAAATACAAATTTGGTGTAGCTACAACGATTCTGGACACTTTTAGCTTGGATTTCAATTGTTTTAATTTTTTAAAATGAGATTTTTGGCCAATTATAGCAATTGAGTGAATTGAAGTAAATTTGACTATAGTTTCTTATAAAAAATGTTCAAAAACTAGCAACTCTACATTATATGTGAAACTCTGTTTAACCTTAATGCGAAGGACTGAGATATTTCTAAGCACACCAATATGATACATACATGAAAAAACTTAATTGTTGTTGTTGTTATACTGTGTTATACTTATAACATGTTACTCAAACATCTAAATGATTCAGTGTTGCAAATGTAGATGTCTATACTAGATGAAGAATGTAGATTCTTCAATAGTTTTTGTCTAGCTAAGAAACTTTCTTCATAAAGATCGATTCTTCATGTAGAAAGAAAAAAACCATCTACATGTAGATTGTGTCTACATGTAGAATCTGTCTACATGTAGATTCGATGTAGATGTCTATAATTCTACATTTTTTCCAGGTCTACATCAGAGAAGAATGTAGAATTGTAGACATCTACATTAAATCTTCATGTAGACAGATTCTACATGTAGACACAATCTACATGTAGATGGTTTTTTTCTTTCTACATGTAGAATCGATTTTATGAAGAAATTTCTGTCTCAGAATTTATCTGATCCAGACAAATGGCCAGAATGCAACACTGAAATGATTATATCTATACATGTAATTGTGTGAATGGTTGTAAATACGATAAGCATATCTAAATCGAATCTACACAATCTCACATGACGTTCAGTATCTTGAGTAAGGTTGATAATTAAAATTTGTAAACACTTTTTTAAACAATTTTTATTTTTTGTTAAAATTTACATAATTAAACAGGCTTTAATTGGTTTGACTTTAAGTCCAATTGCAATTCCACTTCCAATAACTGTAAATAAGAATGCTCGAAATTTAGAATTTCTGCCTGCTTTTTTATTTAATTTAATAATAACAGCTTTTGCAGCTTTGATGCGTTTTTCAGCTATTTCGATTTGCCTTTTAAGTTCCTCCTTCTGATTTTTATCTTCAGGTATCATTTCTTTAAGATTTCTTAACATGCTTTCTGCTAGTTCTAGTTCTTCCTCAACTTCTTTTCTTTGTTGCATTTCCTTTTCGAACAATTTTTGTTGTTCACCCATTTCCTCTTCAAACTTACGTAAATTACTGTCTGACTGATCCTTGTGTTCGCTGTAAATTTTATCAATTTTTTCTGCTAAATTGTTTCTGAATTTTTGTTCATGCTTAGCGTTTCCCATCTTTTTCATTTCGTCGTACTCGTCCAATGTCTTTTTCTTGCAATTGTCATGGACAGTTTTCAAGTGTTCCTCGCCTATTAAGTCTCTGTTGGTGTAAACTGCCAGCTTATATTCATCAATGCACATTCTTATCAAATTATTCATAAAACTCTCAACAGTCAATTCATAAATGCTGGATACTCCTGGGTCTTCATTTGATTGGAACAATCTGAAATAATTCTGGATGTACTGCCTCATTTCCCTAACGTTTACATCCATTGAGTTAATTTTTTTGACAATCAAATTTTGTGGAAGTAAAAGACACTCGATAAGACTTTGTAATTCATCTTTAAACTCTTCATCCATTGCCGACCAACGACCATCATAATTTTTACTTCCAGCAACAACTTTTCCTGGATGAGGAAGCAAACAGCATGCAAATTGATCAAAAGAATTGGTTATTGATTCACGAACTGAATTTAATTCCTCTCTTTGTGAATCAATCACAAGAACTTCTTCCTGAAAATATTTCATTCCGCCATCCTTGCCAAATTCATAATCTTCGACATTGTTCCAGTCTCGGACAAGAAACATTAAATTTTGAAAAGGCTTTTCATTTGCCTCAATACTATCAATAACAGTAAACTGAGTATATTCTGTTGCAAATTGAAGATGTTGAAGTTGATCTTCTTGAATTCTATTAGCAAGATTTAAAACTTGAACTGATGAAATTAAATTGCTTAGTGCAAAAATACGTGAATTTTCAGTTGGTGATGAATTATTGTCAAAAAGACCTTGAGTATCCATGATAACAATAGCAAGTTTCTCTCCACTGTAATCAAGAGTATGAAGGAAGACATCGTTCCATAAAATTATGCCAATTGTGTCACGATCTATTCCTGATCGCCATGAGAACCCTTTCAATGGTTCGTCACAACTTCCCATCCAGTTTTCATTCTTATGGAAGAAGTATGGCATTCCTTCTTTAGGTTTGTTGATTGATGAATACTGACAATTTAAGCAAAACGTTTAAGAATGTTGATTATTGTTAGAGGTCAAACTTACATTTGCATATAAGAATCTCAGGCAATAATTCAAAAGAAAACTTTTCCCACCCCGAAAAGCACCAATTAATGAAAGAATTACAATTTTTCTATCTTCAATTTCCGGATTATTGAAAATTCTGTCAATTTCTTCATTGTCAACAATAACTTCACCAGTTTCAGAAAACTTCATGACAGTTACTGGCTTCCCATGTGGATGATCACATGACATTTTAATTATTTTTTAAGAATTTAAACTTAACAAAAAATAATTCTAATCGATACGAATATAAAAACTATATGCAGCACAGAATGTGTTTGTTTTTCTTTTGAATAGCACGTTATTGCGTTTTGAAATGTTAAGTAGAAATAGTGGATAGCTTGTTATAACAAACTTAAGTTTTCATGTATGCCTTTATCTTTATTTTCACGTATAAATAGTCATTCATTGTTTTTATTTAAGTTATGAGTCAGAATTTTAAAGTTTAAAATGTCTACAGATCATGATCATCCTTATGGGAAGCCAATAACTGTCATGAAGTTTTCTGACACTGGTGAAGTTGTAGTTGACAATGAAGAAGTTGATAAAATCTTTAACCATCCGGAAATTGAAGATCGAAAAATTGTAATTTTATCATTAATTGGAGCTTTTCGAGGTGGGAAAAGTTTTCTTTTGAATTATTGCCTGAGATTCTTATATGCAAATGTAAGTTTGATTTCTAACAATAATCAGAACTGCTTAACTTACTTGTTTTGATCAACAGTACTCATCAATTAATGACCCAAAGATAGCTGATGGAGAATTTTTGTTCGAAAAAGATAAAAACTGGATGGGAATTTGCGATGAAGCTTTAAAAGGATTCTCATGGCGTTCAGGAATTAAACGAGACACAGTTGGGATAATAATATGGAGCGATGTCTTTCTACACACTATTGATAAAACTGGAGAAAAAATTGCAATTTTTGTCATGGATACTCAAGGTCTTTTTGACAAACATTCATCGCCAACTGATAATTCAAGAATCTTTGTGCTCAGCAATTTAATATCATCAATTCAAGTGCTTAATCTTGCTAATAGAATTCAGGAAGATCAACTACAATATTTACAATTTACTACAGAATTTGCAGCATTTGCGCTAGAAAATACAATTGAAAATGTTGGAAAGCCATTCCAAAATCTAATGTTCTTGATTCGAGACTGGAATAATGGAGATTATTACAATTATGGCACAGTTGGTGGACGATCTTACCTTGAAGAAGTGATGAAAGTAAAAACAAACCAAAAACCAGAACTGCAGTCAGTCCGTAAAACAATTGCAAGTTGTTTTGATGAAATCACTTGTTGCTTACTTCCAAATCCTGGAAAAGGAGTGTCACGTGGTAAAAATTATAACGGCAGTTGGTCTGAAATGGATGAAGATTTCAAAGAGGAACTTCAAAGTCTTGTTGAGTCTCTTTTACTTCCTGACAATTTAATTAAAAAGAAAATCAACTCAATGGATTTAAATGTAAAGGAAATGAAGCAATATATCCAACATTATTTAAAATTATTCCAAACTAATCAGATTCCGAAGGTATCCAGCATATATGAATTGACAGTTGAGAGGTTTATGAATAATATGATTGATCAATGTGTTGAGGACTACAAATTGTCAATTTATCGCAATGAGGACATTATAAATGAAGATAATATTGTTGAAATCCACAATAAATGCAAGGAAAGGACATTAACAATGTACGATGATGAGAAGAAAATGGGAAATTTGGGACATGCAATCACGTTTAGATCAAAATTGGAAGAAGATATTGAGAAATACTTTGTTGAATATAGAGATCAAAAAGAAGAGAATTTAGAGAAACTTAAAGAAGCTAGAGCCAAATTTGAGGAAATTGTAAAGAAAGACTCAATAAGAAAGGAAGAAATTCTTAAAAACATAGATAAAGTACAGATTCAACTAAAGGAACTCTCTAAAAAACGAAAAGAAAATCCATTTTTAACCGAGGTATATGATACCCAAGAAAAAGTCCTCAAATCTCGTTTAGAGCACGAAGAAAATGAACTTAAAAGTATTGAGAGAAAAGAACAAAGAGAAATGGTCTTTAGAATAGTGATATTAGGTATAGCAGGAATTTCAATTCCATTCTCTGCAATTTCTGCAGCTGGAGTCGTTGCAGCAGGAGCATCACAGCTAACAGCTTTGACAGCTTTAGGATTTTCACTTGATACTTTCAATATTGTCTCAACTACAGCGTCCTGTATCAAAGTGGTAAAGGACCTATTTAAAAGAAGAAAGAAATAGGAATTAGACAATATAAATTTATCTTGTGCCTTTGTGGAATGTACACGTTGCGTAGCTATTTTATCTTTAAGTCTAGTTCTGACTCACCTTTTCTATAGTCAACTAAAGATGCTAATATAACAAAACTAGAATATAATTTACACCTTATGTACTGTGAATGAATCACCATAGCTTTTTGTAGTAAGCAATATTTTTAGATATTAACAGATATTAATGAAAATTAGTAGATTCGTGACTATAGTGACATCACATAATGAATTTCTGAAAGAATTATTTTTTAATTTTGGCAATCATTAGATTAAGTTTGTGTTAATTGATTCTAATTCCACAAAGCGATGTGGATGTTGCTATGAAAAAACCTTTAATATGATGAATATGATTTTTCAAGTTTTAAAGATAAAAGCTGATAAAAACTTGAAAAATTCATGAATGAGCAATATAATAATTATTTTGTTATTTTATTTGTCTGTTAAATTAATTTTAATTAATTAAATTTCATTATTATTGATTGTTTTAATTTAAAGTATCAGAAGGTAGGCACTCATGATCATTAATTAACCTAATTAAAATTTCATATAAATTTACATGATTAATGTATTTAAATCAGATTGAATTATTGTTAATAAATTTGTAAGTTTTACGAAATTCATTCTTTAATTTTAATGTAAATCAACTTCAACTAAGTCGTTTTTAAACAATTTGTCTTTCATGATTGATTCTTTTGCAGTTACCAAGATGCAAACTATCTCATACTAAGACAATGAATAACGTTCAACTTTAAACACAAGGGATTAATCCACAAGAGAGAAAAAAACTTCATTAAACATTGTGAACATTTCGTGTAGAGAAAAAAGTGAGAAAATAATGAATAAACCGAAAGTGAATCTTACACATATGCTGTCATAAAAGGCGAGAACGCAAAAATTATATATTTTTTCCTTCCTCGGACCCTCGAAATAGAAGGCAGCAGTAGAAGATGAAGAAGAAAAAAATGTTGAGGTTTGCCATAATTATGATAAATTGATTTAATTAATTTAGGATTTATCGTAGAGAGAAGTGAACGGATGTTCATAGTGGGTATATCAAGGAAACAAAAGTAAGCAGAATGAAGGGAATTCACATAAAGATATAGAGTTAACCGTATGGCGCACATAGTAGTGCAACTTGTAGCGAAAAACATTAATTTTTCCTCTTTTTTTTATGATGAAGTGGATGTTGCTGCTGCTGCTTTTTTCTGTTCCTTACAACTTTTTCTTGCTTTTCCTTCTCGGTTAAATTACAAAATGAAACGAGCTGTGACAAATTGAAAAAAAAAATCTCTGCAGTGTTGCTTCGCCATAATACTTTATATTATTAAATTGAACGGAGGGAAAAATGTTGTATGTGGGTGGATGTGGATGAAATAAAAATGAAAGGAATGCACAGAAGCAAATTTAATGCAACATATGGAAAATATTAAATAAATTTCAGTCGCAAATAGAAATGTTTTGCGTATTATAATAACGCTCGATTGCAGATGCAAAAACATTTCAACACAATAAACATTTTTTTTCTTCTTCTCATTCATGTTGAATTGGATGTAATTAACAAGATATGCGAACAGGCTGTATTTTCTATCGGCAATTCAATTTTAGAATCAAAAATATTGAATTAGTTCGGAGTGTGGATAATAATAATAAAAGTATAATGAAGCGTAAACAGACAAGTTTGAGAAGGGGATGACTTTGAGTTGGACATAGAAGCGCATTACTTTCCCGAAATTGTATACACCCTAAGAATGTTGATTCAAAGTCCTATGGACAAAACCAATTGCAAACCATAAAAGTACTCTAAACAAACTTCCCAACGACTATGCTTAATGGTTTAAGCCGACACCTTCGACTAAGCATTGTTGATCTTATTTTCTTATCAGAATCCCTAATTGGCAAAGAGCACAGAAAGAGCACACTCTGATTTTTGCTGAGTGTACTCTAAAAAGTATGCTCTTTCATACAAAAGTTTGTGCCACTACTTTACGCCTAAAAGTGTACTCACCAGAGCGTACTCACTCAGTTTTACTTTGAGCACACCCTTGAAATAAAACATTTTTTTATGTGTCATGTCACATGTGACACACTTTATGCTCAATTAAGCACATAAAACATATGCTCAAATGAGCATACTTAGTTTGACATACTTTTAATATACTCATAAAAGTACATCTTAATCTGACTATTGATGTACTCAAAAGAGTAAACTTTGAGTGTACTTTAAAGGACGTAATAAATAAAAATTATTATTTTTTGAAACTTTTTTTTACTATTATTTTACATAATTAATGTGTACTTTTTTTTATTATGCTGTTTAATTTTCAAAGCTATGAAAGAAAGAAAGAAAGAAGAAATGATTAATGAAAATTTTATAAATCTTACCGGGATTCGAACTTCTGACCGCTGTGTTCTTAGATAAATTCTGCGTTGTTACCTCTACTCCACCGAGTTGTGTTATCTTAAGTAAAATTTTTGGCAAATAACACATTTAACTTTGAGTTTAAATTTTAAAATTTAAATGACGCTATTGCTTGCGTTTTGTCCGTCCGTCTGAAAGGAAGGTTAATTAAATTTAGTTTTTCTGAAATTTTACCTTACGTTTTACATACGTATTTTTACGTAGCCCTTAAAAAGGTGAATTTTCTCACAACTCATTGGTCACGGGTTCAGGCCTCACCGTGAGTAACTTTTCATATTCACACAAAATTTTCAATTTTTGTTTTTCATTCTTTTTACACTTTTTTGATAGATCATGATGTTTTATGATAAATTTTTCCATTTTAATATTTTTCCACGCGTTTTCCGAGCTTTTCACGGAGTTACTCACTTTTTTCCATACATTTTTCATACCAAATTATTTTTTTGCCATAACTTTTGTATCTTTTAAACTTTTAATCTGAAATTTGGCATGTAGGTTAAGTGGTATATAACCTGAATATATAACCGACGCCATTTTGGATTCTAAGGGTTGGAAACCTATGTATAGTTTATTTTAGCTATAACTTTGAACTTTTTTGAGATTATAAGTTGTAATTTGGCATAGAGGTTAATTGACTGTTTCTTAATGTGAAACCGATGCCATTTTGGATTCTAAGGAGCAAAAATAAAGCAAAAATTGCTAAGAACTAGTGTATCGGGTAGAAACCCAAGTTATCCATAAGTTTAAAGGCATAAAGCTAGCGAATCAGCTGAGCTTCGCTCAGCATAAGTTTGAAGGTTTGAAGCTAGCGCGTCAGCTGAGCTTTGCTCAGCATATGTTTGAAGGTTTAAAGCTTAACGAACATTCTTTGAAAGATTTTTAAACTTTTTTTTTCATCAAAAGTTTAATTTTATAAAAATCACAGTGAACTTTTGTTTTGAAAAATTCGTAAGAAAGGAAAGTTTTTTGCTTTTTCTGAAGCAACGGCTGTTTCTACCTTGCCTAAAAACAATGCAGCTCTTCTATAGAGCAGCACGAATCAAATGTAAAAAACTAGAAGTCTCTACGATGTCTCGTTTCTTGCTGATTAACTTGCTGGCTTGTTTGCTTACAGAAAGCGTATTTTGCGATTTTCTCAGCAATGTCGCAATCAATTTGAAATCTGTGTTTTGCAAAAGATGTGAAATTCCAGGCATAAAACTTTTCATCTCTGACCATTTTAAGCTACCTTGTTCCATATCCTCACAAAATTCAAAAAACTGATTTTTTAATCTGAACAAAACCAATAAATTCAAACGTGAAAACCCAAAAATGTTTACTGTGATGAAATTTCCAAGTACTCCACAAACGAAATTGAAAAAGTCAAAATTAAAGGAACTGAAGCATCCAAGTAAAAATTTTTAGATGTCAAAAGGTCTTAAATCATGATTTTCATCAGTTTCAATCAAAGTTTTGGTCATAAACTGCATCGGAAGGAAGTTTTGCAAAAATTTCATTTTTCGACAATTTTTTTTCCAATACAAAAATACAGTGCTGAAGCATACAAACGATTTCAAACTGATATTTATAAACTTTTTTTTTTAAATTAAACCTAGAGATTCTTGTAAGTAAATATTTGTTAAGAGTTGTTAAGTATAATCCAATTGGATGTGACATGTAAAAAAGACGTGCTTAGAGTATATTTGAGAGTGCACTCAGTAAGTGTACTCAGAGGAGCATAATGTTTCTTACATAAACTTATTACAATGACGTGCTCAGAGTACATTTAAGAGTGCACTCAGAAAGTGTACTCAGATGAGCATAATGTTTCTTACATAAACTTATAACAATGACGTGCTCAGAGTACATTTGAGAGTGCACTCAGAAAGTGTACTCAGATGAGCATAATGTTTCTTACATAAACTTATTACAAAGACGTGCTCAGAGTACATTTGAGAGTGCACTCAGAAAGTGTACTCAGATGAGCATAATGTTTCTTACATAAACTTATTACAATGACGTGCTCAGAGTACAATTGGAGTGCACTCAGAAAGTGTACTCAGATGAGCATAATGTTTCTTATATAAACTTATTACAAAGACGTGCTCAGAGTACATTTGAGAGTGCACTCAGAAAGTGTACTCAGATGAGCATAATGTATTTAAATGTGAATTATCAGAAAGATATGCTCTGAATATGCTCTTGAGTACACTTGAAGAGTATACTGACGAGAGTATACTGTCTTTGAAATTACACTCACATTTGTCATACTCACAATGTGAGAGAGGACATACTCAATAAGTATACTCAAGAGAGCACATAAAGAAAATTTTTTGTATCATGTTGATGTACTTAGAGTATGTAAGAGAGCGTACTCAATGAATGTACTCAACTGAGTATACTACGTTTTTGTACTCATTATGTACTCATGAGAGTATGTTCATTTGAGCACATAAATTTCTATAATTGAGTATGCTCTTGCATGTGCTCAAATTTGTGAGCATGCTCTTTGCCTATTAGGGAATCAACTTTTAATCTATGATTAATACTGAAATATGAATCAAAGTCTCAAATCCAGCCAGACAGTCATACGGTCACAACTTACAAACTCTCCCTTAACCAACAAAACCACATTAAAATTCCATAAAATTTGATAATTTGCACTGATCCCGAGACAAATATTTCAGTTCTATGGCTTAAATGAAGCATTAAAATTGCAAATATTGCAATATTGGCTGATGTGAATTTATATACCCAGGGAATAATCCACAATTGAACTCAATAGCCATTAGTGAACTCAAATATGTTTTCCGTAACAGAAGACTTTATTTACCTGGGAATTGGCAATTTTTAGACAGAAAATTTGTGGACGATAAAAACCCAATTCAATTTCTAACAATAAAACTCACAAAAATAAATAAAATGAAATATTCAATGTGTTTGTAATGTTCACATTCTCATGTCTCTTTCTTTTTCAGGCAGGTGCAACAAATGTTCCATTCAAAAAATGTGCGTGCGTACCGTTCTCAAATAAAATTGGCTACACATTTTTCTTCGCAATGTACAGCACATTGTAAATGACTGAGATGTGAGTAAAAATTGATCGGCCTACATGAATTGTCGCAAAAATTTGCCGATATCATAAAAATGTATTAAAATTTCCATTCGATTGCAGAACCATT